GCCGCCAGCGCGCGGTCGACGTCGACGAGCCGCGGCGGCGGTCGCTGGCGCGGCAGGAGGAGCGATTCCGGCCCGCTACCGGCGGCGGCGGCGGCGGCGGCGGCGGTGGTGGTGGTGGTGAGGACGGGCCACTGCAGGAAATCGTAGACGTCGTCACAGACAACCAGGGCGTCGTGCTCGCGCGCCAGGCGGACGAGGCCCTGGCGCCGGCGCAGGCTCATGGTCTTGCCCGAGGGGTTGGCGCTGGTGGGGACGGCGTAGATGATGTGGCGGTAGGCCTTCCTTTCCGGGAGCAGGTTCTTGAAGACCTGGTAGCCGTGGCGGAGAAGTAAAGAGGGGGTCGGTCGGTCAGTCGCCGCCAACCAAAACCACATCTGATGTCTGGATGCCGGGCTCGGACAAACCACTCACAGGCTCCGCCGGCTCGTCCGACCCAAACGACCTGAGCCCCCGCTCGAGCCACTCCAGATCGATGCCCTCGTCGTCCTCGGGCACGGCCCTGAGCCGGCCCTTGAACCCGGCGTCCTCGAAGACGGGGTTCGACAGGTGGTAGCAGGGCGCGACGGCCCACACGGCGCGCGTGTAGGCCGGGTCCGTGAAGGAGCCCAGGATGCAGGCCAGGTTCTGGCTGGCGCCGCCCGTGACGCAGATGCGCGCCGCGTCCGGGGCCGCGGCCCCGCCGCCGCCGTCCGGGTGGTAGTAGGCGTCCAGGAATGCGGCCAGCTCCTCGCGCAGTGGCTGGAAGCCCGGGTCTGGCGCGTACTGCAGGCCCGGCACGAACACGGCCGGGTCCGCGAGCGCCCGGTCCGCCGCCGCCTTGAGCAGGTCCGCCGGCAGCTGCCGCGGCGCCGGCCACCCCCTGATCAGGTTGATGAGCGGCTTTTCTGCCGCCGCCGACATTGTCTTGGTGGTGGGGCCCGGGACCGCACGGGTGAAGCTGGGACGATGCCGAGTCAAGGCGAGGAACTTGGTATTGCGTGACGGGACCTGAAGGGGACGAGGACGGCTGCTGCTTATTCTTATGGCCGTTCGCAGGTGCATGAACCTCTCCAGACTTGACAAGGTATGTGTGGTGTTAGCTAGGTAGGTTGTGTAAGCCCAGATACCCGACAGCCGCTTAATTGATTTCTCTTCTTGGCGCCCGGGAGTAGCAAAAAGTCACCGCGAACTCGGGCCTCGACCCCGTCATCAATGCCGACGTCGGAGTATCTTATAGCGGGGTCTGTTCACGTCATCCCGGCGACTCTCTCGCAATCCAGCCTTGGTGCAGGTATTATTCTATAAACAAAGCACCTTCTACATTGGCCTCGACTGCGGGCAGCATTAAACAAAAAGAAAACAACAAGACTGAAAATAACCATTCCGCAGCAAGACCAGCCAATCACACAACCAAGAACCTGTCTGAGGCATTCTCACGACGCCAAACGCCACGCCTGTGCCGACGCTACCCGTGACGGCGCGTCACGTCTTTCCAAACCTCAATATTACCGATTTCGGTCCAATTTCAGGACGGCAGCATAAGCTGCTGGCACATAAAAAGGAACCATGGATGCTTCTCGAGAAGGCCCTTCTGATACACTGACAATTGCTGTGGGTATTGGACAAAAAGAAGGTTACTCAAATCTTGTAAGGCTCCGCAGGCGCCTTGAAGATCAGATGAGGCTTCCGCTTGGCCAAATCCAAGATGGTTGCGGCGAAGACCCCGTTGGCCCCTGTTGGTTGATTCTTGATCAGTACATATGTTTATAAAGCCTGATCCTGGGTTATAGAACAGCCCCAGGAAGGAGGGGAAAACGCCAGTGTATCTCTTACATGCAAACCAACTCCTGGTGTAGGAAGTTATAAAGTTTACGTCGATACTTTCATGCACAAGGCCGAGTTTGGCCGAATTGAGGACATAGTCTAGGCACTCCAGAATCTCCGCGTCATCCTCTGACGTCCGCGCCTGATTTAGGAGACTCATTGGCCAGGCGTTCATCAGTCCGATGTGCGGGCCTGTGATGCAGAGAAACCAGTCAGTTCCATGGCACACTTCGCAGCAATACCGGGAGACCCAAGAATATATGTATACAAGGGGGGAAAACATACCTCCAATACCCCGAAAGTCCCTTCCTTTCAGATAATATGGGTTCGAGTTCTTTGCGAGTATCATCCTGCGCGTGTTCTGGTACGTCTCGTCGTCGCGTGGAACGAAGCCCATGAGCGGCAGGGCCAGGAGCGATGGGTAGTTGGCATCATCCATCATTATGGTGGAGCCGTAGCCGTCGACCTCGTATGCGAACACATTGCCAAATTCGCGGTGTTTAACGACTCCATACTCCCAAATGCCGTCCGTGATAGTCTTACTCCAGCGCTCCATATCTTTCACCAGCGAGTCCTGGCGTGAGCCACCAGCTTTGAGCATGTCCGCTGTCCGGCGCAGCTCGACCGCCATCATGGCGTTGGCGGGGATGAAGAAACCAAGAATGGTGGCGTCATCGCTGGGGCGGAAGGCGGAGCGCACGAGGCCGGTGCCGTTACGGAGCGGATTGCCTACCCCGGCCAAGTTGAGCGTCTCAGTGCCCGTGTTTGTGTTGCGCTGGAATGTGTACTCGGTGTGGCGGTAGCGGCCGTTCTTGTCAAAGGTGCCCATGGACTGCTCCTCGAGCACACGCAGCAGGGTCTCGACAGCAAGCAGCCAGCGGGCGTTGACGAACGCAGACGACCCCGTAGCCTTAAAGAATTCGTTGCCGAGGGCGAGGAAATGGGCGAGACTGTCAAGTTCGTACTTGCACTCAAAGACGAATTCTGGGTTGTAGGCAGGATGCACCGTATCTTGCTGCCCATTGTAAGACCGCGGAAGCTCGGTGGCGATAGGGGGCGGCTGGAAGGCGTTGCAGTAGGGGCTCTCGATGACATACTCGGCCTGGGTGTTGATAGCGCCCAAGATCAGCGTGCGCAGGGCCGGGTCCTTGCGTGCGAGGGGCTGGTAAGGAGATAGCTGGTTCGTGCTGTCACGCAGCCACTCTGCCACGATGTCGCCCGTGATTATGAAGGACTGAGGGCCCTCCCACGCGTTCTCCTGGTTTGAGCCGCGGCTCCCATATAACCCCCCAGTGCCGTCATCGTATGTTATCTGTTTCGTCGTGCCGTCCGTGTGAAACTTGACTGTCGTGTCTGTCGTCGAGGGAAAGGCGTTCTCGAACAGGCGGGCCAGGTCCGGATCCTTCATGCGCGACGTCACGTCCTCAATGACCTGCTCAATGGCGTCTGAGCGAAAGGTACGGCAACGCGGGTCCGGCCGCTGGTAGGGGAGCTCGAGGGGCCCGGTGCTGAGGGGTTTGCTGCGGTGGTGAGAGGGATCAGGAGACTGCGTAAGGATGAGATTAGGATGCTAGAGCGACGAGCGTCAGGACTCACTGCCTGTATGTTGAATATGTTCTGTAGTCCGGACAAGCATCCATGTCAAACACGCCTATGGGCTCCTGCTGAGCATACTGCGAGGCTCCAATATGCGGCAGCAGCAGCACCGCCGAAGCCGCGGAAAGGATGGCCAATCTTGGAGGCATGGCTGGCGGCGCGGGGGTTAGATCCGAGGGTCGATCCTAGCTGGCAAAATCCAGGGCAAGGCAAGCAGTCGGGCGAGTCGCGAAGGGCGAGTGAAAAGAACAAATTGGAGGGGGCCTCAAAGCGTGACCATGATGGGTATACAAAACACAGCAGAGAGAAACCCTAATCGAGACGGCCACAATTGAGTCCAGCTGGTGAGCTGGAGGTGAAGTTGGCAAGTGTCAGTTAAAGGCTGCGCTCGCGAAATGGGTGCCGTGGCAGGAGGCAGGTTCGACCTCGGTGCTCCTGCGCCGCCACACGATGCCCTTGCTTGGCGGCGACACAGCTGACCTCATTCTGCGCGGGGGAGCTGCGATTTGAACCTGCGGGGAATTTAACATTATCATGGCAGGGGTCCCCGACAGGGGGCGCTGCAGCCGTTTCTAGGGCTTAATTCGCCGGTCCGGCCCAATCTGGCATCCTAGCCATCACATCTACAGGGGACTCGATTGGGTTTCCCAAGTTTTGCTGCACGTCGCTGCTGTGAGTGATGATGGGAGCATTCGACCGCGCCGGTGATTGTAGATCAATACTAGCCCGTCGAGCTATGTGCTGGTTGGACCTTGCCCGACATCAAAAGGATCGATAACGGTGTCTGTTTTATTGCAGTCATACAAGTTATCACGGGGTTTATGCTATTTGACAGCGAGTGTGGCGCCAAGACAAACAAAGAAAAGACAAGAGTGGCGGAAAGCGCGTTGACATTTCCACAATAAATTCGGGCCAGATCATGCCTTCTTCGAAAAGAACGACATGATGTTTCCCTGACCCTTCGGCGCCGCCTTCTTGGGCTTGGCCGCAGTCGCAGGTGCTGCCGGCTTTGCCGACGACGTGGCCTTTGGCGGAGCCTCGTCTTCCGAGAACGACTCCCACCCGGGTTCGTTGATCGTGACTGGATGCGGGAATTAGTCGGGGAAGAACTCGGGCTTTGCTGTCCTCTGACTGGAAACAAAAGGTCGCGCTGAGACCTGGGGCAGCACTCACCGAGGTAGCCTTGATCATCCATGATCTGTTTTTTCTTCATCACCCGCCTCCGTCCGCGCCTCCGCCCGTCTCCGGTGCTAGCCGAGACGACCTCGGCCGGCTCCTCCGGCTTGGGCTCCGGCGCAGGAGCCTCTTCCTCTGGCTCCTCCATTGGCGTGTCGTCTCTCTCATCCTCATCCTCCCCCTCCCCCTCCTCTTCCTCTGCCGCCTTGTCGGCGGCGTCTTCCTCCTCCATCATGCGCTTAAGCGCCTCCTCCCGCTCCTTCCGGTTGTTATTTCCACTGTCAGGCGCCTGCTTGGGTGCCGGAAGCGCTTCGCCATCGTCTTCGCCGTCATCTGACATGGCGCTCGACTCGGCCACTGGTGCCGCCGGTTTAGCCTTAGGCTTAGCAGCGCCTGCTTTGGCGAATGCTTGCATGATTCCAGAGCTGCCCCGCTTGAGCGAGGGCGCAGGCTTCTTGTCGGAAGGGGTGGCGGTGGCGGCGGCCGAAGAGGACGGAGTCTGCGATGACTTGGAGTCCTCCTTGGCAACCCGCGCAAAGGGGCCGGAAGCGGGTGGTGCCTTCGCCTTGGGCTCGTCTTTCGCCGCCTCCTTGGCCGCCGCGGACGCCGCAGGTCTTGCAGGCATGACATTTTTATTTATTCCAGCCGGACCCGCTGCCGCTGGCATGGGGATGGGCGCAGCCCCCTTTCGCTCCCTGCGCCGCGCATGGGGATTAGAGATGGCGCCGTACTTCAGGCTGACCTCCAGTGAGTCCTCGCTCGCAGACATATCAAGAACTTGGCGGCATGATTCTGACAGCATCTGCGGGTCCTGTATGAATGTGTTTGTCAGCATGATTCAAATAGCCGGATCATGGTATTTTACCACAGTTTGTGGAGCTCACTTTGGTCGGGTTCGGCCCGATACTGTAAACATGGATCGAGGAGACATGATCGTACAACGCGAGACAGTCTTTTCCGCAAATTCAAAAATCAGTCCCATACGAATTACCGGTTGTGAATGCTGAAAACGTACCGCTGAGGTCCTCTTCCTTGGCAATAGAGAGAGTGTATGTGGGCACGTGCTCCGACGGCTCCTCTGCCATCTCAACGTCCCCATCGTCCGCCTGGGTCGGCTGCTCAGCGGCCCGCTTGACGCCGTACATCAGGTACGTGGCATGGACAGAACCTGACTTGCGATCATTCTGCGATTTGTGGAACTCATAGAGCATTCTGAGCACGCGACGACGGTAAGTACAGGGGCCTAAAATCGCTCCTTTTCGCGGTTGAAACGTACTGCTTGGACACATTGACATGTATACCGAGTGCTCTACTGAGGTAGCGGTATGTTACCTAGAAACCAGCCAGCTAGCCGTTAGCCATTTTATGGAGGCCAGGTCAGCCGCAGGGCTTTCGATTGACAAACCACCTGGTCCTCGGCCAAGATTTTCTCGCCGAGAAATCGCTTGTAATCACCTGTGCTGGCCATGATCGCTGTAGTTTCCGCTTTGTGGAAATAAGCAAGATGATTGAGGCTCGAGGCCGAACAAGGAGTGGGTGGCGGTGGGATGTTCAGGCACGGCAAATGAACCAAAGTCGCGATCCGACAAGACGGGGCCGGCAAACGCGCTATCACGTGTCGCGGGGCGGTTTATCAACCCTAACCCGTGAGCAATCTCAGGGGCGCCAGCCCAGGAGTCATCGCCATCTCAACCTCCCTCCTCCAGCCGTGCGAGTGAGAGTGGTAAAACATGTTAGCGAAACTCGAAATGTATGGTTAAGTTATATTTCCGATTCCAACTTTTAGTTATCATCTTGCATATATTTCCCCTAATACTCCGTACATTTCATCCTGTGCTTTATCAAAGCGGTTAAAGTTGGAGTTGTTGCGCCTTGCGCCTTATTAGGTCCCTATAACCTGCACGGGTTTCGAGTGGTTCTTGGTGAGCTTTTATATCACTCGGATATCATCATTGCCTGTTGGCTGTAGTCACTATGAGTTCCTACGGAGCGAACTGTCAAGTAAATTCCCTAGCTAATTTCCGAACATCCTTCCAACTATCACCCTATTTCATACATTCCAGACGCTAAAGGATCCCTGAACCAGGCCGTGGAAACCACCGTACCCGGTCCCGAACAAAACGTAGTCGCCGACAGCAGCCATTCCTCCCCTGAACACGGCATCCATCTCGATTTGCCGCAATATGTTTCCCGTGTTCTTGTCCAGGGGTGTCAGGTAGCCTGGCCCGATAGGATCGAGTCTCTCTCCCCTCGCCCCGGTTGTCCCTGTCAGAACGACATCGTTGACGACTGTCGGGGCGACGAAGCTGTCATGGTTATCCGGGGCCGGCGTCAGCCACAGAATACGTCCGTCCTTGAGACTGGCCGCGCCAAATGCGCTGTTGGAGATGACCTGGCCATCGGGCATTGTGAACGGTTTACGGTCCGAGTTGGTGTTTGTGAAGTAAACCGCCTTGTCGTCCACCGCCACACCCCACGTCAGACCTCCTTCGAGGCCGCCAGGGCCCGTCTGAATTGCCCAGGCCACGGTTCCCGTCTGCGCATAAAGCGCGTACAGCTTGCCGCTCTTCTGGCCAGCCACTATGATGTCTTGGCCGGCCGGCGTCTCCGGGCTCCCGGGGACGAACGTCGGCGCCATGCCAAAGTCGGCGTCCGGTCCGGGCGTCTCCGGGCACGTGCCTGGAGCCGCCGCAAAGCCTTCGAAGCAGCCGGCGTTCCAAGCGTCCAGTTGGCCCAGCTGCTTAGCCCAGTTGACCCTGCCCGTCTCGAGATCGACGGCCATGATGGAGTCCTGGTAAGTCTCTATGGGCAGGCAGGGGTCGCGACCGACAAGCCCCTGCTCGATTATGCTGATGTTGGCGGTCTGCCTGACGCAGTCAACGAAGTCTGGGGGAATGTTGTAAAGGTTGCCGCTCCCAAAGAAGACCTGCTTTCGGATAGGGTCGATCGACGGCTGGCTGCCCCAGACGGCGGCGCCACCCAGGTCGGCGTTTGCGGGTGACGTGTGAGGGAGCGTCTGGACGCCCCATTCATGTCGGAGCCTCCCCCCTACCAGGGAGACGGCGTTGAGGGAGCCCACAAAGGAGCAGCAGGCGCCCACCGACGGTACCACAGACTCGGTACTCGACACGCCAGCATAAAGCCGCCCGCCGTAGAACGTTTGCGACTGGGTCAGGATGGCATATGGGTTGGTGTCGAGCTGGATGCTATCTATCAACCTCCCCGAGCTGCGGTCGATAGCAAGCACCAAAGCGTGCGCGAGAGTACCAATGAAGAGGACGTCGCCATCCTTGTCGAGCGCCGGCGTGGTCCGTGACACCATTGGCTTGGCGTATTCGATGGGCACAGGACCGAAGTCCTCAATGATGCGTGTGACATTGATACTCCAGACCTCAGAGCACGCTTGGTAATCAAGGGCAACCAAAAGGCCGGTGAAGGTCGGATAGTAGGCAACACCTCCCGTGACCAGCGGTGCCGCGCTCTGCCCTGCGCCAGAATACGGCACAGAACACACCTTGGTGAGATTGGCGATATTTTTGGTGCTCACCACTGCGTCGGAGGCTGCCCATCGATTGTTGTAAGGCCCCGCGCCCCATCCCAGCCAGTTGCCCCCAGCTGGAGGCTGTGGGCCGGGAATATCGTTGCCACAACCCTCAGAGCTGGCCAGCGCTGAAACCTGCTGCCCAACATTGCCGCGATGGACCAGATTCGTTGCCAACCCGGCGGCTCTCACAGCAAAAGCCTTGAAGCCCGGCATCTCGTAGTCTCGGCAACGTAACCTAGCCCGGCAGCACTCGGAGGGAAACGATTGTATCAACTGAACTTTCGACCGATGTTAGTCTAGATAGCTTCTGGTTGCGCCTGTGTAAACTACCTTCCAAGGTCACAGAGGATCGCTTTCACATAGCTTGCCCAATAAGAAGCGAGATGTTGAGCTCAGGTGGACTTACAGGCGAGCTAAATGCTATCCAGGTCAGACCAACGCCTTATTGACCATAGGGCACCTTAGACTCAGGCTTTTTGAGTGGAAGCAGACGACGTAGAATCGACCGGACTATATATCACCATGAAATTGGCGCTGAGACAAGCCCGAAACACAGGCATGGACTCATGTCCACACCGTTTGCACATGTAAGTGGGAGGCTCACGATTGCCTTGAGGTACTCGATCGATGTCCTTTTTGGGAAGCATTAATCAATCCCCTCCCCCCTCCTGAACTGGTCTCGATATCACCTGCAAGCTGACCTCATTTAGCCGTCAGTCTCAACGCCGGTTCGTCACGAATACGGATAGCTACCTCCTGTGTTACATCCAAGCATCGGGGTGGCACGGCAAGGCCTGCCAAGGAAGGACATCCGGTCGGACAGGAAGCAGCGCCGAATTCGCCGTCAAGAAGCTGGCAACCCCGCATCTTGTGATGCATATCACTTGCCTCCTGCGGAAGCCGGTGAGACGGGCGCTCGGGTAGGCCCAAGGAAGAAGGTATGATCATAGGTCGCGGGAGTTGGATCGGTCCGATATCACTTTTTGGGGACTCCGGCGTGGCACTTACTTGGCTTTCCCCACACTAACTTGATTTGATATGCAGAGGCTTCGTCGTGTAAGCTAGTGAGTGAATGGAGAGCGGCTGTTAGTCGAGTCCGTTCTTGGACAGCCTGCTATTGTCATGGCCCTGGTTCCAGGCAGCTTGTTATCACCCGACCACGAGTTCAGCATTGGCAATTATTTACACCTTGTTCCTCGAAAACAACGACCTCTGCCTGCTCGAATCGCGTGACATGCTGGCGCCGTGGTCCGCGTTTTATAGTGCGAATGTAGATGTTTCCAAATGCTTCATTCATTTGCGAGAAAGAATCCCTTAGTAATCAATTACCCCTAGGTACCTACCTGGGTATTGCTCATTTACCAAGGATGGGATCTGTTCAGGAGACAGGCTTGGCGAAGGAGCAGGGCCGCCAACAAAACTGCTCGGTTGGCAACCCGCTGCCGAGAAGTTTCAATGCTGCTCCTTTCAGTGACTTCGTATTGCATTCTTTATACACACAGCCAATAATCAATTGAAGGCCATGTCGTTCCCTAACATCGAGCGCGCAGAGCCTACGGGCCGTTGCGCCTTCAGCCTTTTCAACCAGGTGCCACAAGCCAACCGCCCAGGAGATACTCGCCGCCGGTTCTGGACGCGATGGATCCCCGAATTTGTCTCGTCGGGCTCCAGCTGCACCAAATGCGAGAGCCACGAATGCTGGGGCTACACCATGGTGCGAACCAGCCACCACGATGACGCCAAGTTCGCCCGTGCCGTTGAGGCCGTCCGGCGACCGGCTCTTGTCCTAATCGAGCTCGACCGTGATGAGGGAGGCGGTGAAGATGACAGCCAGGTCGACGAGACGATCTGCGTCGAGATCACGACGGACCAGCCTATAGTCCGCGAGCGGCTCCAGGACCCCTACCGGGCCATGGTGCGGCGCGCGGCCGAGGCGGCCAGCCGCCGCGGGGGCGCGGTGTACTCACGACTGGGTGGTCACGCAAGAGCTGGCACGTCGCTACCACAGCCCGGTCGTCGAGGACAGAGACGCCCTCGAGGGCGCCGACGTCGCAGTCGCGTGGATACTATCGCTCTGCGCAGGGGGAGCGCGAGAGTGACCTGCGCGGGCTCTGTTTTGTGCTGATGGACCGCGAGACCATCGACCACCTGGCCGCGGCCCCGACCGAGGGCGATATGGCTTTGATGACGTGGGCGGAGCGGGCCCGGGTCGCGTGGGATCACTGGATCAAGGTGGTGTCGACAACGCCCGAGTACGATGAGGAGGGAAACGAGGCCGACGCGGTCTGGGATTATTTCCTTGCCCGCAGGCGGATCCGGGTGCTGGATTTCGTCGACGTCTTCCTGTAGCAGCAGCACGTCGACATCAGCGAGGTGGGTGTCAAGGCGTATGACCGTGAGCGCTTATTGGAGTGCGGAGAACGTGAGTGGGAGTTGTGCGAAAATCACGAGTGCGAGATTATCACCGTGCCGTGGCTGGAGGAGCTGTGCGGAATGACGATCAGGTGGTGATGGTGCCACGGGTTTCTCGCTCGTTACGATTATGTGATCAAAGCTATGTGCCCAAGGCTTGCGATGTGGACGAGATGAGGCCATCTTCAACGGACGAGCGGGCGGGCTCGGGAGGAGAAGCTATTGCAAAAAAAAATTTAAGCGAGCCCAAGCATGGATCCTTCATATGCAACCTAAACATTTCATCAGTTCGGAGACTCTCGGAGTTATCCCCCAAAACTGCTCGTTCAAGTCGGCCGTCAATGGCACCGCCCTAGATGGCCGTCAACCCCTCGAGCAGCCCACCCTCGCTGGGGTGCCACTCGGCGGCGCACCGAGCGCAGGGCGCGGTGGGCTGTGCAGGCCTTGAGCCTGGCCACGGCGTCGTTGATGAAGAATATGAGGATCCTGACGGGCCTCTCCCTTGGTGATGCGGAAGGTACGGGCCTTGGCCAAAATCTCAAGATCTCGTTCATTCTCCTCAAGTGCGTCGAGTTGCCTTTTGGATTTAGTTCCTACAAATGCCTGCTAGAGCGCGCTGTCACATGATCATGAGCTCTCCTTCACCAATCAACCACGCTCATTCCCCAGTTGTGGGGCTTCTCGTCGTTACCCATGCAAACCACTTTGAATCCGACGCGAATGGAAGGAACTTGCGAGCGCGTTGAGCTCCTGGAGACTCGACCGGGGCCGAAGGAAGGGCTTTGGTTCCTGCCACAACCTTCGCATATTTGCTTCTCGTCGTCTTGATTTAAACCCACTCAGAGCTTTCTAACAGAGCAGACGGGACTCCCCGCTCGCCAGCACACCCAAACGTGACACTAGCCGACATCCCCGCGCACGCTGACTTCGGACAACGCCATGGATTCCGACGTGCCGGATTCGACCGACTGGCTCGGCACCCCTCTCGCCGGCCTGATGCAGGTCGAGCAGGCTTTCAGGTGCCACGTTTGCAAGGACCTTTACGATTCGCCCATGATCACCTCTTGCTCCCACACCTTCTGCTCCCTGTGCATCCGGCGCTCGCTTAGCGTCGACGGCAAGTGCCCGCTCTGCCGGGCAAACGACCAAGAGAACAAGCTGCGGGGAAACTGGGCTCTTCGCGAGGCCGTCGATGCCTTCACCAAGACCAGGGCTGCCCTGCTCCAAGTCGCCCGCGCCCCGCCACCCGCTCCTGCCTCGCCCAAGCGCAAGGCTGAAGACGACATCGAGGATGACGAAGCGGCGGACCGGAAGAAGCCTAGGATGTCTACGAGGCGGAGCAAAACAAGGGCGGCCGAGGCCACTGCGGCGATGATGAGGGAGGAGGTGGACGTGATCGAAATCAGCGACGTGGAGAATGCGGACTATGTTCCAGGTTCGTAATTGAGTCCTACACCTGCCCATTGGGTTGTGGGATTCTATTTTACTGACTTGGTATATGCAGACGACGGCTTGGTGGCTTGCCCGATATGCTGGACGCGCATGAAACCGATGCAGGTAGACAAGCACATCGACACGTCTTGTCCGGGGGTTCCGCCAGAAAACCCGACGTCCACCAAAGCTCCAGCCGCGGCCCCAAGTAGCAGCAGTAGAAGCTCGGCTCCGTTTGGCGCAGCAGCAACACAGCAGCTTGCAAAACCGCCACCCGAACGCCTCCCTTTTCTTAACTATTCGATATTGACCGACCAAGCGCTGCGCAAAAAGCTCTCGGCCCTCGGGGTCTCGCCCTCGGGCAACCGGCAGCTGCTCGAGCGGCGCCATAAGGAGTGGGTGACGCTGTGGAACGCCAACTGCGACTCACTGCGGCCAAAAAGGAAAGGAGAGCTGCTGCAGGACCTGGCAGTGTGGGAGCGGACCATCGGCGCCCCCGCACCATCGCGCTCCTCGGCCATGGGCGCCCAGATCAAGGACAAGGATTTCGACGGCGGAGCCTGGGCCAACAAGCATGTGTCCTCATACAAGGACCTGATTGCCAACGCACGGCGAACCAGGTCCAAGACCAAGGAGATAGCCTCTGCAGGCGACCAGGCCCAGGAAAGTTCAGCTTCAAATCCCGAACCTCCAACAACCGGCGTGGAGCAGCAGCCATCAAGTTGCGGTCAGGGAACACTGCGGGCAATAGATGGCGACAAGGCTGAGCAGACGATTACATTACCTGTACAACCACAAGGCGACTTGTATCATGCCGGCACCTCCCTGGATGGTTGTGATAGCGGGCTGGTCATAGTTGGGGGACAGCCTCCACAATTGAAATCTGTACATGATGGGAATATTCAGGGTGTCTAACCGAGGCTAACTGGAATCATTCTCATAAAAAACACATTTGCTCCAAATAGCAACCCCAAACTCCGTACCCCATGTCACATAGGCACATCTCTGAACAACAATGTCGGAAAGCAATCCGCAAAAAATAGATCCGACATAATTAGAGACGCGAACGTCTTTGCTGGAGCCGGAAGCTCACAAATCAGTGTGAATGGCCATTATTTAGTAGGCTGTGCAAGGAGCGGCTCCTCCAGTGAGAGCCTCCGGATGCCCTCGACGGCGGCTTCTCTGTCGGCCGACCCTGGTCTGGCTGCGTCCGGTTGCTCCTTTTCGGCAGTCGGCTCCTTGGCGCTCCCAATGGCCTCGAGTTGACGCTGGACCTCCTCGGCCTCCTTGGCTTCCTCGGCCTCCTTCTTGGCCCGCTCCTTCTCCTCCTCCTTCCGCTTCTCCTCACCCTCGAGCGCCGCCAGCTCCTCGTCGATCTCGTCCTCGTCCACGGGGGAGGCCGACTCGGCCAGGATGGTGCCGACCTCGTCGACGGCGTCCATCTGCTCGCGCAGGCGGTCGACGACGTCCCCGACGGCGTCGGCGCCGCCGACCTTGCTGTTGAGGCCCTTGAGGGCCTCGGTGCTCGTGGCCATGACCTTGACGAGCTGGGCCTGGTCCGACGCCTGCTCGATGCGGGCCGCGACCTCCTCGAGCTGCGAGAGCGTGGCGAAGCGCGTGCGCAGCGACGACTCGGCAATCTTGCGCGACTTGAGCGCCGCCAGCGCCGCCACGCGGTTGCCCCTGGCCACGGCGTCCTTGGCCGTGGCGTTCAGCTCGTCGACACGCCGGTTAAGGATGGCGGTCTGGTGGGTTAGGTATTCGGTCAGCTCTTTGAGCTGCGCGACCGCCGCGTCCTCGGACGTGATCTCGTCGCTACTAGTGCCAGTGCCGGCGTCGTCTTTGAGTTTGACGACCTTCCCATCGCATGCGACGAGTCCCTTGTCCCTTGACAGGAAGGCCAGAAGAACGTCGGCGTCCGCCGCAGAGAGCTTCCCCGACGGGAGGAGCTCGGCCTGGAATGTCTTGAGGAAGTGCGGCTTTGACCAAGTGCGCTCGAACCTCGAGCTCGCGTCCTCCGTCTTGTCCGCAAAGCTCTTAGCCGCGGCCTCGACGTTGGACAGGACGACAAGACGCGTCTTTGGCAGCTTGTCTGACACGCCGCCGCCGCTCAGCCCGGTCGCCGCGCCGACCTGCCTGGCGCCCCATGACAGGACCGTCCAGGGCACCGACGCCAAGGAGAAGGACGAGGCGGGGCGGGCGAGTATGCTCTGCTTGGCGGCGAGGTACTGGGGCAGGGGGATGAGGTCGCCGGCGGCGATGGCCTCGTTGACGGCGACGCCGAGGGCGAGGGGCCGGCCGTACTGCCTGCTCTCGAGGGCGCGGAGAAGGCTGTCGTCGGTGGTCAGGATGAGGGAGTCGGGCGGGCCGGTGGAGGAGGAGGACGGGGCCAGGCCGGAGCGGGCGATGACGGCTAGGGCGCGGCGCCAGGCCGACACGTTGGCGGAATATCCGTCCGGGTTGGTGGCCCGCTGGCCGCGGAAGTCGGAGTAGAGGGCTGGCAGTCGGGCCCTAAAGGTGGTAGCGATGACGTCGTTAGTTGTGGGGGCTGAGATGCCGGCAGCTGGCAAACAAGATGAAAATTTGACGAGTGTCGGATCTCAGCGGTGCTCATGGCATGCAGTTCCACCACTTACTTCCGGAATCCATCGGCGTTTTCGGTGAGGAACCCGACGAGGTCGCCCATGACCGCGGTCGAGAGCGGAGTTGAAGGCGGCTTCGCAGGCGGAGTTGGCGGAGTTGGCGTTGCAGTTGCACGTGCAAGGGGGTAACCGCCTCACAGACTCGAGGAACAGTGGGGGAATATTATAGGCAAAAAATCGATGAAAGCAAGTCAGTTGCGGTTATTGCCCTCTGAAATGCGTATTGCGTGGAGCGGCTCACATAGCCTGACCAGGCGAATGCGTTCGGCCAGCTGGTCAAGTCGGTGCTTCGGTCAATGTTTACATGCACTCGGATCGTCAGGTGCGACGCGGGTTGGCGGTCGCCAGAAGTTCTTATCTAATCCCTCCAACCCTAACCCGACATACTAGACAGCCCTCACCCCTGTTTCCCGTCTTTGTTGAAGCCTCCTTTGAGATGGGTCTTTTTGTTTTGGGATTTCGCATGATTTCCCGGCCACCAGCTCTTGACCACAGCTCATTTGGCTTGGGTAGTGACAAGAATCAGAAGCCGAGTGAAGAAATGAAAGGAGGTTTTGTTTTGGGCACGAACGGCATCGGCTCAAGTAATTCTAGCCAAATATAACCAGTAACCTCCATCAGGATGCAAGCATGGCAAGTCCATTGTCAAACCGACGATCATTGGATTCTGCATTTCGATTTCGGACGCTCACTTGCTCCAAGACATAGCATGACGACGTGTCACAGTGACCATCCCATAACAAAGTTGTTGCAGACCAAAGAATCCCACACCCACGGCCGGAGATTGTGTCCCAGCGCGCAAATAAGATGTGCGTCTCGACAATGCTAATTAGAACCCCCTTACCAAAACTTACCGTATCGCGCTTTGCCATCTTGGCGCCTTTTTTCATCATGGGAGTTTTGCTTTGCTACTTTCTTTCTATCAATTACATTCCTGCTTCGTGCTTTCAGTGTCCTATAATCATTCATAGATCCTGGGCATATCAACCACCTGCAGGTTTGGGCTGTGCTAACTAGCCTGGCTACGCAGTTTATCTGTGCCGGAGTCCTCCAGCCCGGAGTCCCGACGGAACAGCGAAAGGCCGAAGATGCGCGATAGGGTGAGATGCCTCCGCGGGCGGCTTACATAGCTGCCCGCCCGCCCACTGCCACGATTTTGTGCCCTCCAGCTTACATATCGCTCGGAAAGCCCACCCGAACACGCCTTATTTTTCTCGTCGGCTGGCTGAATACCGGAACTGCCGTGGAACCTCGACGACTGAATAGGGACACCTCTACCTGGATTCTACCTTATCTTACACGCGATGCGTTTTCTTTGCCTCCATGGTCACGGCACCAGTGCCTCGATATTCAAGTCACAAACGGTGGCCTTCAGGAACAAACTAGACAGCTCGTACCAGTTCGAGTTTGTCGACGCTCCCTTCCGCTGCTCGCCGGCACCAGGAGTCGACGTCTTCTTCGACAGCGGGAATTACACCTGGTGGCCCCAAGCCACACCCCAGGCCATCCGTGCGGCCCACCTCTGGCTGGACGACTACATCGCCGAGCATGGCCCGTACGACGGTGTCCTGGGCTTTTCCCAGGGCTGCTCGCTAGTCGGCAGCTACCTCTTGTACCACGCAAAGGAGAACCCTGGTGCTCCGCTGCCGTTCGACGTCGCCATTTTCATATGCGGAGGCATGCCCTTCTCTGCGCTCGAGGACCTCGGACTGCCCGTCTCCCAGAGGGCGCACGACATCAGCGACCTCACGTCACAGATGCTCAAGAACAAGGCTGCAGAGCTCAAGATATGGGCCGCCAACATCGACAAGATCAAGCCCGGGGTCGGCCTGTGGGACAACACGAAGGGTCTCCTGCACGACCCCAAGAAAAAGCCGAACCCTACCGACGTGTTCGGCCTCGACTACACAGCCTTCCCCCAGAACATACGCATAAACATTCCCACGGTCCACATCTCGGGAGGCAAGGACCCGAGGTGGCCTGCGAGTATGCAGCTCGCATTCTTCTGCAACAACAGGCTGATGTACGACCATGGAGGCGGCCACGATGTGCCGAGGTCGACCGAGGTCTCCCTGAATATAGCGCAGCTGGTCAGGGATGTATGCGAGAATGCCCAGCGAGTGAGGGCCTGAAGGGTGTTCCCGACATGCAGAAACCTCGGGAGCGGGATGCATCGTTTCTATTGTTTCCCGTCACCGTCCATTCATCTGCTCCCAACAGTTATACGACATATTTCTTTAATCTAAACCCTATACGGCGGCCCTGGGGAAGGCTGACTCTTGTGCAACGCCCTCCTCCTCTTCCACTGTGCCACCGTCGGAACCCAGCTAGCTCGGTGCAACCTATTTTTACTCTCCCGAGCTCCTTTGCATCCCAGCTGGAAACCCGCCTCCCCTCTCTCTTCCGACGAACTCCGCTAAGCTGACATGTTCTCCCGAGCGGAAATAAAGCCAAGCAGCGCGGGGCGACCCTCTCGGCTCTGATGGCGGTCAGAGCCCACGACGGCTCGGGTGCTAGTGCTTGGGCGGCAGTGCGACCGCGTCAGGGCGTGGGCGCACCGCCGATCCTAGCGCGGCTAACCATCTCCGTGCTAGAGGGCAATGTCGTGCCTGGCTAACTCGATCCAGCCGAGCGTGTTTTCCCCCTCACCCATCACCCTCGCCTGCCCTCTACCTAGTGCACGACGGCAACGGGCGGCGGAGACCACGGCTAGTCTCGACACACGGATGGCCAAGCCACCTGGTATTGCCACAACTCTCGCTGGCGAACTGGCTGCCCTTGGGGCGGTTTCAGACCCGAGAGGGCCCGTTGATTGCCAAAGGGGGCCATGGGAACCCTCGGACACTGGCGCCCTCGTCTGTCCATGCGGGTTCGCCATTGGCGTTGTGGCCCCAATCATACGAGATAGATGCATGCTCCAATTCTGGAAGCAGCCGATGTATGGCGTGTGTCGACTAGAGTACTGAAACTGGTCATATATAAAGATGCGCCAGCCTGAGTCCTTGCAATGTCAGACCTTTTCTGTCGGTATCCCCCACTGAGCAACTGTCTCATTGCCGTCTTTTTTTTTACACTCCCTAGGCAGCTAGGTGATCATTCGTTTTGAGTCTTTGACTCTAGTCCTTCGTTGTCCCCGACCTTGTTCGGCCGCGCACTCTTTCTCTCTGGGGTTACTGCTTGTTTGCACAATACCCAACACTCTTTGATATCCCTCACTCTAACTCAAGCCATGGATCTAATCAAGGTCATCCTTGGCTTAGGCCTCGGAAAGACTGTTGTTGAGGCTGCCTGCTCTAAGAATGTTGTCATGGACGATTTCTCGAAGTGGAATTCGCGCACCAACAGCCTCAACTCCTACACCAGTGGTAGGTCTCCGTCCCCTACGCCATCAAATCGCGAGCTAGCCATGTGATTTGGACTTTACTAACAAAGGCGAATGTGTGCAGATGACAATACCATGTTGTCGACCTCTGCCGCCGGAGGGCTCCTCACCTTCACCCCCAAGGCCAACTCGTACTTCTACGAGTCGTTCGACTGCCGCAAGACGACCGCCGATGGCTACAACGCCATCTCTTTCACCGCACAGGCCCCGGCGGCCGGCTCGAGCCTGACGATGGAGATCCAGCACCAGTCGACCTGCGCCAACGCGGCTGGAGGCTACAAGAGCACCTTCACGGCCGTCACCGGGCTGTCCACGTCGGCCCAGACCGTGACGGTCCCCCTGAGCTCCTTCAGCGGCGCGCGCCTCGACTTTGTGACGGCCTTCTCCTGGTCTGGCTTCTCGGTCCAGGGCAAGCAGTGGAAGATTGGGAACATCCAGTTCGTATGCTCGGCCGTCAGTGGCTCCCAGTCGACGTCGGCTGGCTCGACCTCTCGGAGCACCTCGCCGGCCTCGTCGCTCCCGGGCTCAACTACACGCGTGTCTACTACTACCTCGTCTACGCCAACCACTAATGCGCCCTCGACCCTGATTTCGTCGACGATCCCTGCCCAGCCATCCGCCTCGGGGACTTGCAAGAACCTCGTGATTGACGATTGGGAGTCGCAGTCTCGCCTGACGTTCCTGTACTACAACGCCATGCTGAAGGCCACGAGCGACGAGGGCAGCATGAAGAGCATTATCGTTTCGGCCTCCAACACGGTCACCCTGACGCCCAAGGACACATCCTCGTACTTCTACAGCCAGCTGGGCTGCACCAACGCCCAGAATGTGTACGGCGGCATCTCCTTCAGAATCAACGCTCCCAAAAACGCCAAGTTCGCCATTCAGCTGGCCTCCACCTCTACCTGCGGTGGCAAGGAAGACAAGTTCTCGTACAAGTCCACGGCCGATCTCAGCTGGATATTCGACGGAACCACCAAGCTTTATAGCTTCCCGTTCTCCAAGTTTCCCGACGTCGACATGGCCAAGCTGAACTCAATCTTCTTCACCGAGCTCTCAGGCGCCGTCACTTTTGGCCCCATGTCGTTCTATTGCGGAGGCACCGTCTCGGAGTTCATCCCGTCCTCGTCGCCCCCGCCGTCCGGGCCTACCCCGACCGTGCCGGCGCCGGCGGGACCGACCTCGGCCAAGCTCGTGATCGACGACTTTTCGAACAGGAACCAGAACTCTCTCGGGAACTGGCACGGCGCCGACGACGGCATGGGGCTGACGTGGGGTACGCGCAAGCTGACCATCAAGTCCACGGACCCTGACTATTCCTTTTACACCAACATCGCGGCGACTTGCCGCGACATGACCAGCTTCGAGGGCGGCTACCTCCACATCGCGTACTCGGGCAGTAACAAGTTCACCGTGGCGCTGCAGCAGCACAACCAGCAGTGCAACGAGAACATCGCGCCCTTCCCCGAGACGTGGGACTCGATCGAGGCGGCGCGGTACGCGTCGGCGAGCGACATCTACGTCCCGCTCACGCACTTCCACATCGAGCGCACGCGCGTCATCGGCGTGGCCATCAAGGGCTTCTACTCGGCCGAGCCCGTGGAGCTAACCAAGATCGAGATCGTCGACAAGGTGCCCTCGGGCTTCACCGTCCCGGCCAAGCTGCCGTCGGGCAACCTCGTCTTCGCGTGCAAGCGGCCCAACTCGTTCGCCTTCGCCATCGACGACGGCGTGCCGGCGCTGGCGCAGCAGGTCATGGACATCATCCGCGAGGAGAACATCAAGGTCACCTTCTTCACCGTCGGCGCGCCGCTCGAGGACGCGTCGACGAACCTGAGCGCCATCTACCGCGACATGATGGGCCGCGGCCACCAGCTGGCGCTGCACTCGTACACGCACCCCAAGATGGAAGGGCTGCCCGACTACGACGCCATCGACTGGGAGTACAACCGCGACATCGAGGCCGTCCGCGCCCAGCTCGACGGCCTGCACACGTCCTACTTCCGCCCGCCCTTTGGCAACGAGGGTGCCCGCATGCGCCAGCGGCTCGCGGCCACCACGGGCGACAGCTCGCCCTACATCGTCAACTGGAGCGTCGACGTCGAGGACTGGCTCTGGGCCGAGGGCCCCACGCCCGAGAAGCAGCTCGACGCCTTCAAGCGCGACGTCAACAAGGGCGGGAACCTCGTCGTGCTGCACTACCTGTACCCCAGCACCGTGTCGTACCTCCGCCAGTTCATCCAGACCGCCAAGGCGACGGGCAAGCAGCTGATGCGCGTCGACCAGTGCATGATGGACCCCAACGCGCCGCCTTTGTAATCTCGGGCGGTGGAATATTTAATGTAATTAGAGGGGGAGAATGAATGAAGGGTGTTCTGGTAGGGAATTGATGTAGTGGGGCATGCCATTGGGGTGTATGTGTGTGCCAATAATGTCAGGGTTGGGAGTTCTCGTTTGGCTGAACAACGCTTCTATCAAGACCACAGCAATTTAGATGGCCAACGGCACGCGAACCGGAGGAGATTACAATTACACTAAGCAAAAGGCTTCTTCACCGGGAGGCTCAGTAATCGATGCAAGAGAAAAGCTGGAAGCTGGCAGCAGGCTCCCAACCCGTAAAGTCTTGGCGTGGACCAAAGTAGAAATCGAGAGGAAGAAAAAGGCAAGAAACGGCGAAAGGCTCGGCGAGACGGCGATCACCCAAAAAATGACCAATTCCAAATCCCATTCCCCGCACCGCTTCCTTATCATGGGTTAATAACCTAAAAGTTCACATTGAGGTGTTTGCTCAGTCAGCGACACTGAGGGGTCGTTTATTTCGTCTTGGTGCCGAGCTCGGTGGCGTCAACCGGCGGCCAATCACTCTCGCGACATTCATCATCCGGGGGCGGCATGAGGAAAGGCTTGGGGTCGAGATGCATGGTCCCTAGGCCGCATGGGCTGCAGTCACTCGTGGTATCGCTCCCGGATAGGGAGGGTTGGGATTTTTTTCGGCGAGGGAGGGCCGTGATATGTTCAGCAGCAGGAGCTAAAAGTGCTTCTATCTAAGAATACCCTCGCTTCTGCTCGCATCTGTATAATAAGAGTATCCCCAAATCTGGCCATCTATAGGATGGAGGAGGTTCAAGGGAGGATAGAGGAAACTCGGGCTAGACATCACATCCACCCACCACTCAAGATACCGAATAGACCATGCCTCTCCCAACCGACGAGAAGGTCCTCGAGACCAGCAATGGCCTCCTCTCGACCTTTAAGGGGATATTTGGTCCTCATCCCGGATTCCGTCCAGGTAAGAAAGGGAATGGCGCGAGACACGGGCGTTCATGAGTGGTGGACAGCCTCAATTTGACGGGGCGCGTGTTGACAACCAACCTACGACAACACAAAGCCCACGCCAAAGGCCGCCTCCTAAAAGGCACATTCACCCCCACGGCAGCCGCGGGCGCCCTCTCCAAGGCGCAGCACTTCACCTCGCCCTCGACCCCAGCCCTAGCGCGCTTCTCGAGCGGCACGGGTCTCCCTCAGCTCCCGGACGACAACGCCAACGGCAACCCGCGCGGCCTGGCCGTGCGCTTCGAGCTGGCGTCGCAGCCGCGTCGGGTGCACACCGACATCATCGCGCACAGCGTCCCGCTGTTCCCTGGCGTCACGGGCGAGGACGCCCTGGCCTTCTTCCGGTCGCTCGCCGACGGGTCCGTGGGCGACTACGTGGCGTCGCATCCGGTCGCGCGCCGCTTCGTCGAGGCGCCCAAGCCCTTCCCCGAGAGCTTCGCTACCGACGCCTACTACGCCATTCACGCCTACAAGCTGGTTGCCACCGACGGCAAGGGGACGTTTGTCAGGTACCGCTGGGTGCCCATCGCCGGGGTGAAGCACATCACCCCAGTGGAGGCCACGGCCCGGGGTGGGGGTTACCTGTTCGAGGGCCTGCCCGGCTTGCTCGAGAAGGGGCCTATCTCCTTCAAGCTCGTCGCCCAGGTGGCGGCGGAGGGGGATGTTACAGATGACAGCTCGCAGCTCTGGCCGGAAGACAGGGAGCTGGTCGAGCTGGGGACACTGAGCCTGGACGCCGAGGTGCCCCAGGACGAAGACGCGGCCCAGCAGAAGACGGTCATCTTCGATCCGATCCCTCGCGTTGAGGGCGTTGAGCCGTCTGCTGACCCGCTGCTCGACGTGCGAGCTGCGCTGTACCTCATTAGTGGCCGCGAGCGACGGGCTGCTTGAAGCGCTGAGCTGAATGGGGGAACTCTGTCCGCATAGCTGCAACTTTCTGTACGTAGCGTAGGAACCTACCCTAGTTGGCCCCTGCCATGTCTGTAGCGTTCTAGCCATCTCGGCGACTGGCCATTATGAATCGGTCAGCAATAAGGGCCTATTATCATGACGTCTACCCAAGTTCGATTCGATGCGTCGAGACCCCAAAAGCCGCGTTTGCCTCGATAGCCGGCCGCGCTTTGTATCATGCACCGGCTCAAAGCTGACGTGGCAGGCACCATGTCCAACAGACGGGGGGTCTCAGCTGCAGATTCCGGGAGCTGAGATGCCGCTGCGGTCTGACAGCATCGGGCATAGGCGTTCAGCAAGAGAAGAGTGATGATAGCAGTGCGACACAGCTGCCTGAGCTGCCTGCTTCGAGAGCGTCACTGGGCGCCAATATTTGTTTGCCGTGTGGTCGCCCCAGCGGCTGGAGCCCAAGGCTGCATGCCCAAATCAGGGTGGAGGTGACACGTTCCCGTCGGACAGCGTTTTTAATGACCGATTCTAGCATCACGCCTTGAGAATCCGCCTAATGGATATGGCGAGATGGATCGTCGATGCCAAGGCTAGGGGTATCACAGCTCTTCTAGACTTCCCCAACCCCTAAATGAAGTAATGTCTCGGCAAGCTCGGCTGGGACACAAATAGCGCACTTAGGTTGCATCCCAAGAAGCTAAAGGTGTACTTGAGGATCCGGAACTCCAGGTACGCTCCTGCGAATGGCCTGTGCCAGCTGGGAAACTTCACAGCCACATACAGGGCCAGATTCAAAATCGTCAGAGGGTGCAATGGTGTTGACGTAAGAGAGGCGGTGGACATGGTAGCCCGCAGAAAAAGGCATCAGTGTGCAATGAGGAACCGAAAACTCACGGACTCAAGCTAACAGCCACTTGACCATACGGTCGGTAGTTGTGGGAGCCCAGCCGAGGATGTACGTTAGGGGTCTAAGACAGGGCGGTGTGTGGTCAAACCAGTCTGGCTGGCACGAGTGGGTGACTTGGGGGAGACGGACGATGATTCGAGGGAGAGGACCGTTGGGAAGAGCAGCAGCCAAGACATTCGAAGGAAATCCCTCCTCCTGGAGGGCGGAAGAGATGGGGGGTGGGCGGGATCGTCGTGGCCAACGCGCGGGGCTGGGCGCCTGGGACGGCTGGCGGATGGTGTTGTGGTGGCCCAGCGTGGTGAAGCAGTGTGAAGCAGCTCCAAGAAGTCTAGGCCATGACATCATCGAATGGCAGTGCCAGACCCCCGGTCCCTGCGTTTGACGGGCGCGGTTCCATTCCCGACGAAACGAGCGATCCACAATATATTCGGTTACCTCCTGAGCGGGCCAATGGCGGAGATGTCCACACCAGCGATCGGCATACAATGACGCTATTCCCGCCAGGCCTCCACTGAAGCTTGTTTGCTGAGGCTTTTTGCCAGCGACACTTTCTGCCGTCTCCTGCGCAAGCCGCAGGACAGACGGACAGACGGGCTGAGCTCGCACCACGCTACCTCAGGGTCTACGAGAAAGGCGGTTAGTATGCATGCACCTTATCGGGCTGACGCTGCGCTGGGTTTCGATGTTTTATGTTTTAAACATGGCGTGCTATCTGGCTAGGTCGGACGGAACCATGCCACCCCCTCTGACAAAAACAGCTTATATCCCTCCTCAGCTCCTTTTCTCGCCCCCGCCTTCGCCCTCACCTTTAATTTCAACACATCCTCGGCATCCAACACACCATTACAGTTCTGGAAGGATTTCGCGTACCTTGCTGATCTTCGCCAAGTATTGCCAATATTCGGTTCACACCACATCGTTACCTGTATCTCTTTCTATCACGTCCCACCCATCCCATCGCTGTCTGTGGCCGACGCGCAGACGCAGCGTCTGGTGGCGCAAGAAACCACCACAGCAACACTACATACAACACACAAAAGAACTTTGGAATATGGGGAGCCGCAGGCATTCTGTCTCAGGTGACCATCACCACCGACACCACCGGTCCCACCCAGACGACTATGGCTACGACCGCGATAATGCACATGCCTCTCGCGATGAGGGCTCCCCTCGACACAGGCATCGGTATGAGGACCATGATTCGGGCGCATACGCGCCGAGAAGGGCTGCAGGTCGTCTCACCCGGACGAGTTCCACCCGTCGGCACTCGCCCGACAGCAGGCACCACCAAGATGGAGGAACAAGGGGCCGGCGCCACCATGACGACGATGACTACTACGACCCCAGGGACAGATACTATCTCTCTGGCGAGGAGAGTGACGGCTGGAGGTCCAGATCGCAACCGCGGCCTAGCGCACACCACACGAGGGAGGGCGACGACTACTTTGGCAGCCAGCATCGCCGGTCCCAGTCTCGGAGAGAGCCATCGAGGCGCTCGTCTCCACGGAGGTCGAGCCACAGCCGCCATCACCGCCACGACGACGACAAGGATCGCGATAGTCACCAAGAGCCGCGTGGCAGGCGCGGAGCACCGCCCATGCCTCGCCGCCAGTCGAGTTCCGCGCCGCCTCCGTCAAGCCGCAAGTACCCGCCTTCTTCGTCGCACAACCGACACAGCCGGCACGGGGGCTCCTCCTCGGCGTCAAAGTACCCGCCCAACTCGGCCGACAACCGGAAGAGGACCAGAAGCATGAGCTTTGGCGGAGGCAGCAAGCACAAGGACAAGAACGCAGACGGTGGCCGCAGGAGGAGCGGCAGCAGAAGCGGCGACGGTGGCGCCTTTGGGGATATCCCGTGGTCGGCGGCGGTCCGATGCGCCGTCGAGGCCGGAACCATGGCGGCACTGAAAGCCAAGGACCACCCCGGTCAATGGATCGGCACCAAGGGGGCCCAGGTGGCCACCGCAGCCGTCGGAGCCGCCCTCGTTGACGGGTTCATCGCCAACAGGAACCCCGGCATCAGGGGCGGCAAAAGGCACGCGGTCCTGCGCCAGGTCACCAACGCGGCCCTGAGCAACCTAGTCATGAACCCTGTGGGCAAGACCGCCGAGGAGAAGAAGCCGCAGATGCACGACGCCGGCAGAAACTTTGCTCGCCACATGGGATCTCCTATCCACCGCCACAGGCGCTAATGGTGTTTTTTTTTCTGTCGCATATTTCCTTTTTCTTGGTTTTATCTTATTGCGACTGCGATGGGTTTCACGAGGATGATATCATGGCTTTGATGACAAGAGCTTATGAGGAGTTTCAACCTTTATTTGATGTTGGAGAATAGCATATATCACCCTGCAAGGGGACAAAAAAGCAGCACTCTGGAGTTTTCTTTGGTTTACAAGCCGTATACGAGCTCTCCCCAAAGCGCTTTACTTTGCGGTTCGTGTCCGGTTTGGAGAGGCAAATGGTAGAGGCTGAAAGGCACGTTTCGATAGATCATAGAGGCGCATTCGCGACGGTCTGAATGATACTATGTGCCCTACCAAAGATGGGCCGTGCAGAAAGCACTGTTCCTTGCGAGGCAGGGGTGTTGATGGGACCTCTTAGATGCTGGACTAAGCTTCGACAGCAACCTGACAGCGCTCGAGCAGGTCTGGGCAGTCATCGTCGCTCACCTATTCCTTGCCAGAACGAATCGGGAAGATGCTATTTAGGAACAAAAAAGCTTGGTCCTTTACCCAAGCCACGGACAGCCTTAGGCCAAAGCGGTGTTGGAGCCAGCCGTTTTAAAGGCCCAAGCCCGACAGTCTAGCATTGCTCTTGTCATCACATCATAGCTGAGGCTGTGCGTCGCTGCCACAAGCTTTGTATCCACTTCCTATATTTCTCCCGCGCTTCCTCAAAAACTGCCCGAGCAGGGCCAACTAACCAGGCTAGTCGTTAGAGCGAGGCCGCTACCCGCCCGAGCCAACAGACTGAACGTCTAATCCTGATCCCATCAAGCTGAAGTTACGCCACGCAGGAAGGAGCACCTGCCCTTCTTCCCTCGGGTACGGTCCGTGTGAGGCACACCCGCCTCGCTGGCGCTGGTGGTCGACATCTCGAACGGTGACTGTCCGGGTGTTTCGTGCAATGCACCCTCCCTATGCCTTCGTATTCCCGCGCTGCAGGTTGCACTCGAGGGTGGTTGACTCATCTGAAATTCGCAATAGATCAAGGAGATGGGGTGGCATGCCTTCAAGTGGCGGCGAAACGCTTGGTCCCAAGTCGGCACGCTCCTTGGCCGAGAGCACGGTCGTGGCGGTGGTGAGCTGGAGGGGATGGGCCCTCGGTCCTTGGGACGGTTGGTAGAGTTGAAAATGATGCAAGGCCAATATAAACGCTGGTGAGCTGCTGATCAGTCTGCTTCTTGCGTTCATTCCTTGGTCGTTATCCATCAGCGGCACTCCAGCACCGCCTTTCCAGTCGTCCGCTGACCGACACCTGCGGTCTCTACACTCTTTTCTTACACCGGGCTCCCTTTCTCGCGCTCGCTTTTTACCACAAGATCCTTTCTTTTGTTCCCCCTGACATCTTCGCTCGTTTCAAAACTCGAAAAGGGAGTCTTATAACCCTCTTTATCAAAAAAGACGCCGCCTCTGCGGCTTCCAGCTATGTTTCCGCTTCGACCACCCCGACTGGTGTAACATCTTCTACCGAGGTTTCGACAGCCTCCACCGATTCTGCGTCTTCCAACGCTTCAACAGATGCAGTATCCGCAACTGCGACGGCCGATGTGATTTCTTCCACTTTTTCGGCCGAGGGTACTTCGGCTACCTCGCCCTCAATTGACAGCACCTCGACAACGGCTTCGACTGATGCTGTCTCTTCCACAGCCTCTGCCGATGCGGCCTTTGAGACAGTGCCCCACTCCGCCATCATTGGCGACGACGCTACTTCTACCTTCAAGACTGTGACTTCTACCACTGCTTCAACGGGCATAACCCCTTCCAGTTCGACGGATACCGTGACTCCATCTGCCATCATTGGCGATGCTACCTCCACTGAAGCGGCCTCGTCGACTACTGCCACTGATGTGGTCTCGTCGGCAGCCTCAATTGATGCCAGCTCGTCAACTGTCTCCTCAGAGCCGAGCTCATCTGCTGCCGGCACAGATATTGTCTCTTCGACTTCGTCAACCGACACGGCATTTGCCTCCTCTGATGCTGTCTCTTCGACTGCCTTGACGGACACAGTCTCTTCCACGGGAACCGCCCTGTCACTTGCGTCAACCAACATGTCATCGGCTGCCACCGATGTTGCCTCTTCGACTACATTAGCCGACACGCCCTCGTCAACCGAAACAATTTGGTCAACAGAGGCCATAAATACTTCCTCGGCGACGGCTACTAATACCTCCACCACCTCCAGCACTGCCAGCGCCTCGGCCGAGCCTATCGACGCCGGTGCCAAGGATGCCTCAACCTCTGTTGGCAGCACTGAGGTGAGCTCACCTACGGCTGCTTCCTCCTCGTCGACTGAGGCCTCCGCCACTTCATCGGTTAAGATGACAGATACGCCCGCTTCAACCGGCTCGGCGACATGGACGAGCGCCACCGACGTGGCCTCAACCGCCTCTGGCGAGGTATCCACAGCCACCACCGACGCCGCAGCCACCAGCAGCAGCACCGAAGCATCGTCTTCGACCTCGACGGAGGCCACGCCCAGCTCCACCGGGATGCCAGCCACGTTCCGCCTGCGGCCCGCCACCGGTGCCATGTCCAAGCAGTACCTGACGCTGATGGACTGGAGGGACCTGGGCGCCGGCAATGGAGGCATGTCGCACCTGATCACCTTCACTGAGGACGCGTCCAGGGCGTCGACCTGGTACTTCGGCACTGGCGCGGCCGCGACCACGCTCTACTCGGTCGACGGCGCCGGCAGCCCCGTGGCCGCCGTCATCGACCAGGACTCGCGCCTGGCCTTCATCGCGCCGGGCGGCCTGGCGTCCGTGCCCGCCTACGAGATCGCGTGCGCCCGCTCCGCCGACGGCGCCGCCGTCACCTGCCACGAGGGCGGGCCCAACGGCGCCCAGTGGGGCAAGCTGGGCAACTGCAACGACGTCATGGGCATCTTCTACGACACCAACGGCTGCGGCGGTGATCTCTTCAGCCTTGCGGTCGAGGCGGCGTGAGACGTGAAGGTATTTATGTTCTAGCTACAACAGGAGAAAGATTGTCAAATAGCGCAAGGCGATACAACCCATTGTTTACTTCCGAGATAAGACCGTCCTTTTGGGCAAGCTGGCTCTGGTCCTCTTTTTCTTTCAATATCCATACTATAGGGAGAACCTGAACAAGCTTGAAGGGAGCTAAACGCCACCAACATTTCTCGTTGAAGGGCATGACCAGCTGACCAGGTCTCCTCCCGACCTAACGAACCTCACTCTATCCTATCAGCAGCTGCAAAAAAATATTAAGAGGAATTACCCTCCAACCACAACACCGAGCTCATAAGCACTCAGGTTAGGAATGTGGGCTTTTGAGCCCGGTTCGGTGGCTACTGAATCTCTCGGCGGCGTCACCCGCCCACACAGGCAGGTCCCCCACAATGCATTGCCCGAGCTGGGCTAATCTTATTGCTCCAGGACGGCTTGCCGCCTGACCGGGGTTTGTTTCAGGGCGGATTTAGTATCTTGGGGGCCAAGATTACTTCCCTCTGGGTGACGCTCGCAGGATCTAATATCCATAATGAATTCCAGCATGAGCTCGTAGAGCAGCGACTTAATATGCCCAGAAACCAATGGCGTATCGAGGCTCTCACTCTCCTCCGCGATCCCCAGGAGCCTCAGAGACGCACAAGTTCCTTCAGGGACCTTGAAGCTTTCGAAAGGCTACTGCGTCAAATGGATGTTGTAGTGGCGGACGCGAATCCAGTGTATCATCGAACGATGCGGTGAAATGATGGAGGGTCGCTTGCCTCGAAAAGGGGCGGGACTCGACGTGCCCTGATGGTAGGAGTCAAGCTTTTGGCCGATCCATCGCCTCGGCTAGCGCCGATACTGACTTTATTAACGGTTGCATTTATTTATCTACATCAAGTCTGTCTCGTTAAGTCCCAGGAATCATCTTCTAGCGGCCAGACAGCGCGACAGAGGTGGGCTCCTTCATTGCCGAGCTCGAGATGCAAGTCATCAGCATGGGAGACACGGCGGATCAACAGTCTAACCCAAAGAAAATATACGTGCTCCAAAGCACCTTGGCATCCTCGATCCCGGGTTGGGCCCCGATCACGACGACGTCACCCCTTGGCGGCCAGAGTCCCAAGACATATTGACATCATGAGGCTTGGAGGCTATCAGGACAGAAGCTGCGGGGTTGGGCGGATGTGTGGGATGGCCTGAGGGGACATGTGATTATTCTGATATGTGGTAATTTTTGATGCTGTCAACGGTACATTTCCTAGAGCCGGTTAGAAGTAGATGGGGCTTGGGGCTTGGGGCTTGGGGCTTGGGGCTTGGGGCTTGGGGCAACCAGTCAGCACGACGCGTCGTGGGCTAGCGGTGTCCAACGGCTCTGCACAGAAGCACAGAAAGCAGATCCCTCCCCGTTGCGGCTGCCACGGTGGGCCCTGCACCCAGGCACGCCAGGCACGCCCCCACATCCCGGGAGGGTCTTCCCGTCCCCAGCAGGCGGGGCAGCCCACCAGTCTGTCACAGGTCTTGGCGCGCTGCGTTCCCTCATATGGGCTTTGGAGACGAAGATCTTTGTCGATCAGTCCGCGACTCATTTCGAAATACCCACACAGAGTCAGTCTGGATCCCCACCACCACGCGAACTGTTTGTTTGCTGGGGGGTCGGTCCATCACATCACGCCCGCAAGGACCTCGTGTTCCCCCGTTTGCCCGAGGCAACGCTAACTTGACGCCTCCCGGGAGCGGCCGCCACCCCTCACCCCCTGGTGCTGGCGGACTTTTGCTGAAGAGCCGTGGTGCTATCACCATTTCGACCTAGCCTGTCCGCGGCAAACGACTAATTACACGTTGCCAAGCGAGCCGGCTGTTATCGCCCGCCCTCGCCCTCGCCCGCTCCCATCCACCCTCGCGTTTCTCACACGAGCGCTGCCGCCGCCGCCGTGACTGGCTGGCGATCGTCATGGGTAGCGGTAGGTACTAGTCGATTGCGGTGACCAAGATGGTCAACAACGGGCGGTTGGGTGGCGTAATGCCATCCCATCTCTTGCTAAATAGGTACTAAATAGGTAGGTACTCCCATTCCGTCGGGCTCCCCTTGGGGGGGCCCATGATGTGAATCTCGGCAACTGTATCTGGCTACGTATCCGGCCGTCTGGGAGGTGGAGAGAGGGGGTGTTTCCGGCGATACCACCGTAAGAAAACTCTGCTTTCTCTTCATGACGCCCCTCCCCCCGGCCGGCCGAGAGGCCCAGCACTTGGAGTCCCTAGGGAGCCTGCTTAGCCCTGGTACCCACTTGCTTGTCAGAAGTGCTCTGGCCCTATTGTTATTATCATTTTCCCTGCTCTGGGATCCCTCTTAATAACCCCGTGTGGCACGTCCGCACCGACCGATGGGCGATCCCTTTCTCTGTACGGTATCGTCGTTTGTCTTCTTCTCCCTCGCACGGGTTCTCGACCGTGCATTCCTGTCCGCCCGCCTCGCTGGAGAAAAACATCGGTTGGACATCGACACTCGGAGCGGACGTGCCGGGAGCAATCATGGTCTCTTTTTCGGCTCCCCTCTGGGCGATAGACAACTGGGGTCCGGTGGCCGACATAGCTGCTTGGTCTATGTTTGGGGTGCTTTTCGGTATGTCTCTTGACTTTTCTCTTTCCCAACGTGCGCTTGATAGAAGGGGCTGCATCCGAGACACCTGCCAATAGGGAAGGCACAGGATCAGTAATGCCCGTGTTTAGAAACGAAGCTAACTCTGCGGCTTGAACATCAGTGGTCGTCGGCCTGCGCATGTACACGCGAGCATGCATCCTCAAGCAGATACATGGCGGCGGCCTTTACATGGACGACTACATCACAGTCGTCTGCTTCTTCATATTCGGCATCAGTTGCGTCCTGGTGACCGTCGCCCACTCGTATGGTTTGGGCCGCCGCCTCGTTGATATCCACCCGGCAGAAAACGTCAAAAATGCTCTCAAATGGAACGTCATCAGTAGCGCTGTCCTCATATGGACCTTCTCGCTGCCTAAGTTTGCCGTCATCGCCACGCTCCAGCGAATCCTCGACTTCGGCATCAAGACCAGGGTTGTCTTTTGGAGCCTCGCCATCACCTCGCAAGGCTGTATCATGAGCGTCTCGGTCTTTTGGTTCACCCAGTGCCGCCCCATAGCAAAGCAGTGGGATCCATCGGTGGACGGCGTGTGCTCCGGTACCAAGACGTTCTCGGATCTTGGATATTTCGTCTCAGCTTACTCGGCCTTTCTCGACATCTTCTTCGGTCTTTACCCGATCCCCTTCATCATGCGGCTGAGCATGCCGCTCAAGAGTCGCATCACGGTCTCGGCCTCGCTTGGGCTCGGCGTGGTCGCATGCATTGTGTCCATCTACAAGCTGATAATATTTGGGGATATATTCGAGATCGTGGCCAAAGACCCGACGTGTAAGTTGCCTGGTTGCTCTGGTTTGCTTCCTGTCCCCTTTCCGCCGCTGACTCTGGTAGACCCGCTACCCTTTCTCAACATGCTCGGCCTGGCAGAGGGGAGCATTCTCATCATATGCGCCTCCGCCCCCACTCTGGGGCCACTCTACCGCAAGGCTAGGGGCAAGTTCACCGACAGGTATGGATCTGGCAGCGGCGACTCTCAGGTCGAGAGGAAAAAGCCGATATCCTCGGTTTTCAGCAGCGTGGCCGGGGATGGGGCTGCCGAAGGTCACTCCAACAAGGACTGGAGCCTCTTCAACGAGCTCAAGCTGGACGACCCGGAGCGAGGGAGGCGGGACGCCGTGAGCCCAGACTCGGCAGCCCGCGACAACAGGATCGATGCGCACACCAGGCAGAACAGAAGCATGACGGCCGAGACAACCGACGATATTCCCCTCGTACGCAATGCAGCGGGCAGGAATAGACGCAGCAGCTCGGCCATGCTCACACTAGACGAGGCGGGCGCCAAAGACCACCAGCCTAGCCTGGCAATCCACAAGACCATCGAGGTCAGCGTCTCGTCCCAAAACCCGGGGGAGGCGCAGGATCAGCGGGTGGGGGTCGCATTATGATAATAATAAATAATAAAAAGAGGCGGGAGGTAAACGGAAACCAGCCTCCATCACATTCCTTTCACATCCACTCGCTACTTCATCTCCTAGCATCACCCTCAAAATACCTATACCTCACTCACCAGGCACGGAACCTTGAGCATCGAGATCCGGCCAGCCGGCAGGAACTTGATCTTTCTTCTTTCGTGATCTCGTTTATCCTGTAAATAAGTGATAGTCAGATAGCGGCTACACACAGATAATTCTATTATTAGTCACTATATCACCAGTATCCTACAGTATTCCAAGCCTACAATCAGTCCCCCTAAAGATTCCCGTCATTGATGAGACATGGGCGCATAACGCACGGGGACAAGTATCGATGCCGAAGCCACAACGGAAAAATCCATGACACTGCCGGGGAGCTCCCGCCGATGATTGTGGTTATCAGGTGCTTGGGAGGGATGGCCCCTGTCTGGACTTTGGGGGCTCCCACATTCGGCCCAAGGCGATTTCGCTCTTGGGGCGAGGGGGGCGAGGGGGTCGCTGCACGCGGCCTCTGTCAGGGGGGACAAACGGCCCACTCCAACCCGAGATAACGGGCCCGGCCACTGCCTTGTCTTATAGGTATGGGGCTCTGATATAGAGCAGGGGACATGGGGCGGGAATGAGGAGCGGCGCGCGGCTTCCCGAATTCGGCTTCACCTCGCCAACGCGACTTCTAACTTTGGCTTAGTGTGAGATATACATGAATCAAATGATTCCCCAGGACTGCGACGATGTGGGAGGGGTCCATCCACAGTGGTGACGGGTAAAGGATGGAGTCCTCGCCACGGATGTTTCGCGCCGAGTGAGAAACCGCTCCGCTTTTGCCTCCCTCGCGTCTTGCACTTGCCGTCATCACAGTCACATTCGAGCTGTCACATAAATCATTCTTGTGATGATAAAAAACTTTGCAGTAGCACAATCCCTGTGCACACGCAATAGGAAGGCGAAGCGGTGGGCAACTTTGGCCAAGGAGGCCGGAATCATTCGGCGGAATGGTTGCGTATTAGGCCGAGAGAGCTCATGCAGCGCGCGCTCTTGGATGTGCCGCAACGCGTCCAGATGTGAAATTGAGCTGTGCTCCTCCAGTAAGCGTAATTATTCAGCCCCTTGCGACTGATTGATGGTGTCTGCCACCAAATGTCAAGAGGGAATCGCGGTGGCTGAAGGTTGCTTTTCTCCAACTGCATCAGACTGCGTGGGAAGGTGGCTGACAATTGTGATGAAGCCATGGCCGGGCTCCCGACAATGTACACCACCTAAGTGAGCGGCGAATCATAGCTGCATGGTTAGATTACTGCTTTTCGAGTGTCGGGTCGACTTGAACATTGTGATGACATGTACCAAAGACGGATTGACTTGGTGAGCTGAGATCGAGGACGAATCCATTTTTGGTGGGATCAGAATTGAAACAGCGTAGGCCTTTGGTGGTCGAGTGGGTCTCTCTGCCACGTGAGGCGTCCAATCATGACACACAGCCTTGCTCAGGACCCGTCTCCGCAAGCACCTGATCGAGCTGGCAATTGACCCTGACTGACGCATCCCGCATTTCCATCAGCCTCCACCGCGATGGCCTTGCCGTACGACGAGATAGCCGAGCTTTCAATCTAGTGCCGCTCAGCCTCGACATTGCGCCGTGCACATACATACCAGGCGACACCTGTTGGATTTTCTGTTGTTGGGCCGGTTTGCCAATTCCGGGCTGTTGGGGACGCCTGGGCCGCTGCCTGGTCTTACGTCGCCTCAGTCGTGCTTGTCCCCCCACGTTACATTCAACCACACTTAGCAACCTCTTGTGCCGAGCCGCTTTCCGTACTTTGTTTTTTTTTCTCTCTCCAGCAGCGACGACACAAACCCTTATCCCTCCGACGCGGGACCGAGATCGTCAAGCCGCCTGCCCAGACCGATCCCCCCCGCATCAACCACACGCAGACTCCCGTTGGACCACGCGGTTGCTAGCCTTGCCTGCCCCTTCCCGCCGTCGCGCATACCCGCCTCCGACGGCTCCGACGGCTCCGAATCGCCCCGACCGAGGCCTCTCTCATGCAGTCTTCTGAAAATGGATCGCCGGCGCCCGACTCTATCCAGTCCTTGCCCATGGCGGCTTCCACCATAAGGCTGCCCAGCAGGCGGCAGCCTCTGGACGACCTCGCGCCGCTCTCACACTCGGAAGCCGATCTACGCTCACTTCCCCGACGCGCAAACCCCTCGGTCGCCTCGCTCTACGCCTCCACCCTCACCCCGCCCGGTTCCCGATCCGCCTCTCCGGCCGGCCGCCAATCTCTCCTCGCCCGCAGCCCCCTTGGCGCCGCCGCCTCGGTATTCGCAAAGTCGCTGGTGGATCACGTCCCCCTCGACAGCCCCGGCGATCCGTTGGCCTTGATGCTGCAAGCATTTGTGCCGCACGTCGCCGTCTACGCCTCGGCCGATACGGACGCCCTGGCTGCGGACAAGGGTTTTGAGCGCGGTCTGTGGGAGCTGTTGCGTCCCTTTGGCGAGCAGGTCCAGGGCAAAGTCTCTATTAGGGATAGCGTCGGTGGCTCGAGGACCTGGGATGACTACGCCGTTCGCTTCGTACGCTACGGTGACAAGGATGGGTCAAGCACGCCGCTCCAAAATTCATCGGCGGTACCCAACGGCTCAGCCAGTAGTGCCGACTCACCCGAAGTTGTTACATCTCGCGAGTCTCGGAGGCTTGCCGATGTAGAGGCAGTGGTCGATCGCCATCTGACTTATGCCGAGCAGTCCATGTTCGGCATTGGGCAGCAGCCCATGTCGCCAACGCAGCAAGAAATGGACCTCGAGGCACCTTCGCCTTACTACTCGCTCTATCTGCGGAGGTTGTTATCCGGTATCCCACTGGAGAGCCATGAGACTTTTGGCCATCCCGTCGCCTGCGTCATGGCCATCAGCTCGCGCAATCCTTCGCCCATCGACGCCCTGCGGAATCTCTACAAAGAGACCAGTGAGGGCGAGGGCAGGCTGCCAGACTGGGTTGCTCCGGACTACCTCCGCTACTACGTTCTTGTGCACGACGAGGAAAACGGCGATATCTCCAAATCCATGGCGCTCTTTGAGCAGATGAAGCGGAACTTTGGGCTTCACTGCCACCTCCTCCGAATCCGCAGCACACAGTGTGCCGAAACGGACGATGATAGCATACCATTGCCCCGTAGTGAGTGGATGTCGGCGGCCGAGGAGCTTGCGGACATCCGCAGGAGTGAAGCCCAGGAGCATTTCGAGAACCCGGCCAAATATCTGTTCGAGACGGACGCAACCGCCATTCGCACTTTTGTGCGCGAGATGGTTATCCAGTCAATCGTGCCAACCATGGAGCGAAACGTCTCCCTATGGAACGATCAGGTGGCGGCCAAACGCAAGGGCTTCGGCGGCCGGCTGGTGAGCATGTCCAGGAGGTGGGCGTTTGGTGGCGGATCCAAGAACGCGCCCGGCGGGTCCAACTATAGCCAAGGCTTCTATCGGCCAGACACCCCCGAGGCAACGTTGAGGCGGCTGGCCGACTATGCCTTTATGCTGCGTGATTGGAAATTGGCGCAGTCGACGTATGGCCTGTTGCGACCAGACTTTGAGAGCGATCACGCTTGGAGGCATTACGCGGCTGCAAACGAGATGGGCGCGCTGGCAGTGCTGATCATGGCGCACCCTAAAGCCTCGGTCCAGAGTCAGGCCAAAAGTCTCGACTCGGCTGCAGACATGCTCCGCGAGGCTGCATATTCATACCAGACGCGCTGTGGCGCCCCTTACGGCGCCCTCCGCTCTTCGGTACTTGGGCTTGAGCTGCTGAGGCTCCGAGGCGGGGCTTCGTGCGTCAACGCAGCTGCACAGCTGGGGATGCGGCTCGCCGAGGCCACGCCGCGGCTTCTTGGTGTCGTGGGAGATGCTCTGATGCGTGAGCGCATGGCCGTCGTCTGCGCGTCACGGCCGGCCCTCAACGCGGCCGGCGTGGGGTCTTGGCGGCGCAAGTCGGCGCTCTGGAGCGTGCTGGCGGCCGAGGCGTGGCTGGGTCTTGGCAAGTTCCTGCAGGCCCAGCGGTGTCTGAACGAGGCGCGCGTCATGTACTCGATGCTGCAGAGCGACGACGGCATCACGCGCTTCGCGCTCGCGAGCGAATTCATGGCGGGTCTCAACTCGCGGCTCAAGGACGGGCTGGCGACGGCATCCGTCGTGCGCGATAAGCTATCGCGCAGTACCGGCGGCGTAGATAGCAGTGACGACGAGGATGAGTCAGAGGATGAGGATCGGACAGGGAGAACAGGCGGCGGCGGCGGTAGTGCCGCCGGCGGAAAGAGGCACGATGCAGACGGCGACGAGGACAAGATTGACGAGGAAGAGTTCAAGGTGTCGAGCCCGAGGAGGTCCCGGCGCCAGAGTCTCCTCAACGCGGGCAACGGCGGGGGGCCCCCTGAGACGTCACCACTACAACCAATACCATCCAAGAAGGAAGATGTCGTGGGCAAGGGGGATTTTGGCTGATCTCTCCTGCTGGACCGGGGAGAGTAGGATGTTGACGAGAGTGCTGCCTGGTTGTTGGCATTGCCGAGAGTTATAGCGAATGTAATATAGAAGACGGAACCTCCGCTGGGATCCCAGAGCTGCACCTCCTCCTATACCTTGTGCTTTCGTTGGGGCGGGAGTTGTGGAATGGTAGGAGAATACCTGTATGTGAAGCCCCAAACTAGACCAGCAAGCTCTGACACGACACCTGACGGCACACAGAACCTACACATATTAGGCCAATATTGAATTGGTATTCATATTCAGTCCCTCGGGGGCGTCTCCGTATAGTGAACCCAGGCCCAAGGTTGCGTCGGTTACTTACTACCAAGGTATAGAACAAAGACCAGATCGTCAACTCAATAGAGAAGGGACGCACAGGTAGGAGAAGTTTGGTATGAGAAATGGAAAACGCCAATAGTATGGAACCCCCTTGGAATGCTTTTTTTTTTTTTTAATTCCGTTCTACCTCGGGTGCCGACCGTCAAGAGTCAACACCGTACAGGAAACGTAGGGCCGAATAATGGAGGAATGGGGAAATAGAACATGTTTAGGACGCATCAAGGGCTTCCATGGCCCAGGACACCACAAACGTAATGTCTCTCCCGGAGCGGCCGGAGCCACCACACTCGACGGAGCGATGAGGCATGGTGATCAATCACCTCGGTGGAGGACCCTTCTGGACATAGCATGATGTTTGAGTGCCCTCCCGATGTGAGTGACAAGGTAGTAAGCGCCTGGAATAGTCAAAAGTAACATGCTGGCGCACACAAGAAAAAGAACAAGACCCTAGGTATTTCAAAAGGAACAAGAAAAAAAGGATACGAAACAAAACAGATCGTTCATCACCAGCAGATCCCTACATGGACAGCGCGCGCTTGCGGCCGCCCCCCACAGGCAGCGGGATCGATGACGCGAGCCGCGCGGGCGGCGGCGGCGGCGCGCCGGGCTTGCGGGCCGGGTTCCCCAGGTCCAGGAGCACGGCGGCGGCGTCCATGTCCTTGCCGTCGCAGGCGGCGGGGCGGCTGTGGTCGTCGACGTCCATACGGTCGCCGCCGTCCCTGCCCTTGTGCCCGGCAGTCTGCTGCTGCTGCCGCTGCCGCTGCCGCTGCCGCTGCCGTTGCCGGCCGTCCTCGGGCGGCGTCGCCGCCGGCGGTTCGTAGCGGTAGTCCATGCTCTCCCGGGGCGGGGATGGCGGCTGGCTGTGCCGCGCCATGGCGGCCACGGCGGCCGAGGCGAGGTTGGTGACGCTCATCTCGCAGTCGCCCGCGCTGCTGGGGCGGCGGTGGGCGGTGGGGACGGGGACGGGGACGGGGACGGGGGCGGGGCGGGAGCGTCGGCTGCGGCGGCGGGGCGGGGCTCGGCCGCGGGCGGGATTGGGATTGGGTGGCGGGAGGGCGCCGGGGGGTAGTAGTCGAAGTGCTCCTCGTGCAGCGGCTGGGGGGTGGACGGCGCGGTCCGGTAGTAGTGGTGCTCACTACGGAAGCCGGTGGAGGTGGTGGCGGAGGGATACAGTGGATGTTGGTGGTGGTGGTGGTGGTGGTGGGGTTCGTGCTGGTGCTGCTGCTGGCGCATCCACGGCTGGGAGGAGCGCGGGATGGCACTGAGGGTCGGGTTGGGGACGTGCTCGCCCAGCAGGTGCGTGTGCCGGCCTCCCCTGTAGGCCCCGGGGCGGTGGTAGGCGTCGGGGCGGTCGTGGCCGTCGCCGCTTTCGTAGAGGGAGGGGCTGCCGGGGCTGCTGTGGGCGATGGCCTGGTAGTCGTGGGGACTGCTCTGGGCGGCCGGGTAGTCGCGGGGACTGCCACCTTGGGCCGCCGCCGGGTACTCGACGGGCCACGTGTTGGGCGAGGGCGTTAGCAGCGCCGGCTCGCCGAGGCGGTAGCCGCCGGGCGAGGAGTGGGCCGAGGGAAGGTCGCGCTGCATGGACGGCAGCGACGTGTTGGAGTGCGTCTGCCGGTGGCGGTACTGCGAGCGCCGGCGGTACCGGCTGTCGCCGCCGTAGGGCGTGCACGTATCCATGTCCATGTATGTGCTTGACCTGCCTGGAGACGGGGGGCCGCTGTTGGCGGCGGCGGCGGCGGCGTCGGGGCTGCGGACCTGCTCGGCCGACGCCCTGTAGCGGGGGTGCTCCCTCTCGTGGCGCGGGTAGCCGCGGTGGTGCAAGGCGGTCGCGTAGTCCGGGGACCCCTGGAACGGTGCCGCGCGGGCGGCCCGGCGGTATGGCGGGGAGCGCTCCACGGAGAAGGGGCGCTGTTGCTCTTCTCTGCCGTAAGACCACCTTGGATAGAGGTCCCTCGGCGTGGAGGGTTCTACATGGCTATAGTGTTCATGCTGCTGCTGCGGCTGCGGCTGCGGCAGCTCCTGGTGGTGGTGGAACCCGCCGTGGCGTCCGCCCAGGGCGGGCTGCTGCTCGCTGTAGTAGGCCAGATTGGCCTGCTTGATGGCCTCCTCGACTATCTCCGGGTCTATGCCGAAGCGCCCGAACTCGGGCGAGCTCGTGGGGACGCACTCGGCCGGGAACTGGGGGCCGAAGATGGGGATCAGCGCCCCGGAAATATCATAGCAGAACTTTGCGCACATCGCTCTCGCGCAGTGAAACGGCATCCAATATCCTGGACGGAGAAGAGACGGCCACCTGTTAGTATAGGCTCTGGTCTGATACAAGAGCAAGATAGCTGAGCAAGAGAAAACCCGGGATGGATCTGCCCTACCCTGAGCCGTGATAGATCCACCTGTAATGCTGCAGGTTACATTCTTCAAGCCTGGGTTCTGTAACAGTGAGCGGCTCGGAACCGTCTGTCGGTTGTTGCTGGGTTAGTTGACCTACTCAAATGATGAACTGCTGGGGACTTGGAGCCACAAACCTTGGAGTATCCCATGCACTTGAAGAAGTTGGTTATTCGCACGAGACCGACGTTGTAGTCCCAGAGGACCGTCCACTTGTTCTTCTTCTCCGGATCCTTCTTGTCCCGAGCATAGAATGTGTACTCGAAAACTAGATCAAGATTTCCGACATCTGCATCAGTATGGAAGAATCACCAGAGTCTCAAGACATGTCGCTTGTCTAGGTATGTGTTGCGCATTGTACTCCTCCAAGTACGGAACAGGGAGGCAGGCAGGCCAAGAACAGAAAAAAAAGAGCGCGGGTAAGCTGCAGGAGGACATGTTCGTACCTTCCAGGCTCTCCATGCCTGTCTTTGCGCCAAAGTCCTTCTTGTTCGAGTTGTAAGGGATGTGCCTGCAGGTTTCCCGGATGGCGCCGAAGGGCTCCACCTGGAACCTTCGGACCTCGGCCAGGGATCGATCGTCGAGACTTTCGTGTGGCGGATAGTTCACTGCGCCCTTGGTTTGGGGTGTCGGGAAGTACACCTCCCTGGGTGCGGTGCGCGGGGGCGACGGTGCCCTGTGGGCGTATAGCCTCTGCTGCGGCGATATCGGCGACGGGAACCCTTGGTCGTAGGGGGTTGATGGTGCCGACGACATGGCACCCGTGTGCTGTCGGATCATGGGGCCCGACTCAATAGCCATGTCTGGGTTCATGAGTGATGCTAAGGGCAGCATCGTTTGGCGGTCCAAGGTTGATGGCCGAGGTGGGTTCGAAGGTCCCTTCGAGAGCGGCGCCAGATCCTCGAGATGTTGTTGACTCTCAAGGAAGAAGTCGAGGATGGCAGGGACGATGACTGACTTGGGGCAGGCGTGGTATGCGGTGCTAAAGAGGAGAGAGGAGGTCGTGCGAGGTAGAGGGCGGAGGGATGGTCAAGCCCATCGAGGTTGGGACGTCGGAGTCGGGGGAGGAGGGGGGTTATATCACCCAAGGGAAGCGGCTGGATTGCTCGACGGCGCTGGACCACGCCCCAGGGCGACGCTTGGGGAACATCAAACTGGGCGGGTGGGCAGCAAACAAGGTACTATCAAGGACAACAGCTCCTCCCCCGCCCTTGGAAGAGACCACGAAGGGGGGAGGATATGAGGGTACAGGGGGATGGGGGCACACTAGGAGAACGCCGTGGCTTTCACCGTCCTTTCGCTGCCCTCCGAAGATTGCCTACGGCGGCCCTTCCTTCGGACGAGGGCGCCGACACCGAGCAGGATAAACACCCAGGGCAAAAAAAAAGGAGCGGGGAGGGAGGTGTGGAGCCTGCGATGCAGCTGGCCTACTTCTTTTCCTTTGTTCTGCTCGCGAGGCTGCCCAGAGTCGACCTGTAAGAGCAGAGAACGCCCGTTTGGCATCCCACCGCCCTTTCCTTTTCTCCTCTCCTCCTCTTTTCTTTTTCTCCAGGTGTTTGTAAGGGCCGCTCGAGATAAAGAACAGCAAGGAAAAAAGTGACAGATGATCGGCGAGACCGAAGGACAGCTGGTGGGAAGAACCCAGCTCCTTTGCCAGGCCGATAGAGTGAAATAACCAAGCCAGCAATTCCAGGGGGCTCCCAGTTGGTGCTCGGACGGGCTTGCTGCTGCTGCTCGTGAGCCAGGGCCTAAAGAGACGGGTCACTTTTTTTTCTGGCTGTCCTCCCTTTCTTCCTTGATGTTGCCCGTCCCGAAAGTATGGGTCGGGTAGCGTAGCGTGTGGACGTCTAAACTGGCGGGGAGGGCGACGAGGCCGCGGGCAAGGCTCAAAGACGGCGAGGGCCGGCCGGTGACTGGTCGAGACGGGGAACAGGGTACGGGAAGCCACCGCAAAGACTCCAGGGGTGTACACCGCAAGTATTGGGAGCACGGCCAGCGACCTCACGCCTTTTTTCCCACAAACTGTCGGAGTCGGCGTGGCCTGCGAGGGGGGGCTTGGGGGAGTCAAACAGCAGCGGGCAGGCACGCCTCCTGACTGGCTCCCTGCGGGCTGTATAGGCTGGGTTGGGCTGGGTTGGTCGAACGCTGCTCTCGGTGGGGCTTGGCCGCCTTGCGTCTCCTTCTTGAGGACCCTCTGCTTCGCCCGTGACCGGCAGCAGGAGCCAACCACACCGGCAGGGCGACGTTGGATGATTGGGCCCGGCCTCTACGTATTGCTGCCCTTTTTCTCCTCAGGGCACACCGGGTCACGAGCCCATCAAGACCGCCAGCTTGGGTGCCGGTGATGCTGCCGCTTTTTCCTTCTCCCCTGGAAGAACAGGTGTGTGTAGACGCCCGGCCACACGCCCCTGCCTATAATACGCCCACAGAAACACACGCTCACTGCTGCTGCTGCTGCTGCTGCTGGGTGGAAACGGGCCGGGCAACAGAAAGAGTCGGCCGAGGGGGAGCAAAAGGTGGGCCAGTGCGTGCCTCTCTCTCTCTCACTCTCTCTGGTAGTTTGTTTGACGGACACTCATCCATCACACACAGAAACAAAAGCTCTGACAGGGAGCCAGGGCTCGGATGGCTGCAGCTGGTGCCGCTGGTTACCCAGCCCAACTTGCTCCCCTCTCTCCCTTTGCGTCTTCCGCTCTTTTTTCACTCTCGCGCGCTTGGGCGTGGAAAGGGGCGTGGGACAAGGGGAAAAAAAGCAACGGACACAACGCCAAGGCATATAAGACCACACCCCCAAGAGGCAGCAGCAGCAGAGGCATCATGATTGACTCGACACACGTGTCCGCACTGTTCCGTCTACACACTCTCTCTGTATCTCGCCCTTCCTCTCTGTCTCCCACATCGCATCACACATCACATCAAGTCACGACGGAACATACTGCGTGCTTCTGTTGGTTGCTGTCCTTCGTCGCTATCACCCTTCAGAGCTGCGCCTCCCCTGTCCCCTCCTTTCCATCACTGCTGGTGCCACGGCCATACCCCCCTCTGCCTGCTACCTCAGCCTACATGTATATCTCCCCCTCAGAAGTGACGAGCGTGGGCGTCAGCCAATAGCGTCCGGCCAGGCGAGCAGCGGCTGGTGAGGTGTGCCTTGTGACAGGGGGGGTGGGCGTTTTGAGGCGTTGGTAATCCAGAAACTGTGTCGCAGTCCTTAGACTTGTATTTTTTTTTCTGTTTCCAACACGCTCTGAGATATGACACACCACGCATACAGCTGCCACCTGGGCCTAGGTGTGGCCTGGATCCAATAGTCTGCTGCCAACCTGCCGTGCCGTCCACTCCCGGCACCTTGATCCCTTGTCCTGGTCACCACTGTCCACCGCGAACAGCAAAGGAGCAAAGCCAGCCCACCCGCTCGCCGACTTTTCCTTTTTCCCGCTCTTCTGTCCGCCCGTCAGCTGGGAGGGGAGTGCCCGGCGGTCAAGAACCATTGCTTCTTTTTCCTACCCGTCACTTTTTTTTCTGTCCTCTGGTGATGCGCATAGCCGAGAAGGCGGCGACGTCACGGCAAAGAAACCATGGCACTTGCTACGTGTCGGCCAGGACGGAAATCGTTCCATGGCTTGTTCGAGAAGGACGTGGAAAAATGCAGGAGACGTGCGCGGGAAATGAAGGTTGAAAAAAACAGGAGGTCAGGGATTGCCTCGACCCCCCCTTCAGGCCCGAATGCCATGATACGACAGATGCTGTGCCTCTGGGGAACCGCCTTCTCGAATTCTTTGGCGCGGAAGCCGGTAGCCCTGCTTCTTCCCATGCCACCGAGCCTTGGGTCTCCTCAAGAGACAGGACCGGCTCGCACAAACGCATCAAACGGTCCCGACTGGGCAACACAGTGGCCCCGTTTTTGCGTTTCAACAAGTGTAACGGCTGGAAGGGCAGGGCAAAATGGTAAAAGCCCCGAGATTCACACGTCTTGCTGCCAAGGGGAGACGTGAGATGAACGAAGGGCTCCTCTCGTCCATTTCCAGAGGGAGGCCGAATGAGAGATTGTGTGCCAAGCAAGGGTTTTCGTCAGGCGTAGACGCAAGGCAATAAAGAAAGCAATAGAAGCAAGGAGAGGAGAGCGTACCGCAAATAGTCATGGGAGGGTTCAGGGCTCGAGGGGCAGAATAATGATATGTGAGAGCGCAGTCCCAGCCAAGAAAGGTCGGACATCGCCTGTCTGCGTCGACAAAGAGAAGCAAAGTGGGCGAAATAGAAGACAGCCCCCAACCGATCTCGCCGAGCACAGGCCCCGAACGCGGCCCAGCTCAGTACACTGGGAAGCAGACAGGAGGAACTTGGCACTTGCCATTTACCGATGGGCGGCTGCCATGCCCCTGAGCCTCCCGTCTCGTTCGTCCATCCTCCTCCCAGCTTTCCCATCACCTGGGCCTCGAGTCGGGCCCTGATGCAAGCCCTCCTCCGTGGAGCTAGGGGGAGGGAAGGCCCTGAAATTTGCTCATCTTTGCAGCCATGACGGTCTTCTGCGGGCTGCCGTTTGACTACCGGGGTGTTCCAGCCGCCGCCGCCATCATGGATGGGCCAGGTCAGGCAATCAGAGATCGATCCATCCGACGACCCGAGCTTCGCCCAGGGCAGGTCGCAAGCAGGCAAAAGAAGAATGGAAACAGAAATGGACCAGTTCGCCTGCCCTGTCACCATGCTCCTCTGTAGACCTAGCGCTGCTAAAAACAGTAGCCGTGTGGCTCCAGGCTTATTGCGCTAGCGACAGTAGGACTCACAGCACCTGCGTGACTGTGAACCAGGTGGTTTGGCGCGAGGCCGACACCGCGGGGGACGGGTGTGTGTCTGTGTGTATGTGTGTTTCCTGTTCCATGCCCAGCCTGGCTCGTGCTCTACAACGACGGAAGCCGGAGATTTTTTTTTTTTGGCAAACATACCTTACTTCTGGGTGTTAGGGGTTTGTCCCTGCGAGTTGGCCGTTCGATGTGAAGTCCTTATCAAGAACAGGACAAGTCTTGCAGTTGATGGAGGAGGCAAGGCCACGGGAAGCGAAAAAAAGAAAGAAAGAAAAAAAAAGAAGAAAAAAAGAGATGCACACATTCTTGTCATTCGTCTGTTTAGCGATGCCTCTGCAAGATCTCCAGTAGATTTTCTTCCCGTCACGACTATGGCCTGGAGCTAACCACAGCACTACACCCCGCCAAGCAGCAACAGTCGCCAGGGTCATCGAAGGTGGCTTCAAGTCCCACCAAGTCCTCGAACCTCACACCGTCCGTCTCACCGAGAATGTTGAGACTCATTCAGGCGGCGGGGAGAGGGGCATGGCCCAAGACGACCAGCAAGGGTTTGGACAGACGGGGGGCGAAGCTGTGAAATTCCGGGCTGGGCAATGGCGTCGCACGACAGGTCCTGACAGAAGACCAGTCCAAGGTGGCTTTGTTGGGGACTGCCCCATACAACACAGCGAAGGCATAGCGGCGGGGTGACACCCGGGCAACCAAGAGAAGACGGGAGAGGCGGCTGTGCACAGAGAAGGGAGGTAGGTACTAGGAGTAGAGAAGAAAGAGTGGACTGTGAGCGGCCGCTCACGCACCCCTTCTCGGGAGATTTGCTCACCTTCCGCGCTCCAAGCTGGAGAAGCGGGATGAGAGGGAGGAGAAGAGAGCACGGCGTGCAACAGATGTCGTCGCTGCCGCGGCCGCTGCTACTGCTGCGGCGGCGGCGGCCTGAGACGACGAGGTGACTTGCCCACGCCCACGCGCTGGCTTGCACGGCGGGCGCCACCGCGCGGCGCAACGTGGCACAGCCCAGCGCTGCAGCCACCCGCGTCTGGACGCCACGGACCCCCCAGTCGCCCACGCCCCCTCCGCCCGTCCCTCCCCCCCCCCCCCCCTCTCTGGGCACTACAGAGTTTATCTATAGCTGGTGCGGCCCGCTTGCCAGAGGTGAGGCGACGACCGTGGGCCGTTGCTGGTGCCTGCTGTCAGACCCTGCCGTCCGTGGACGCCACGGGGCCATCGCATCGAGGGCAAGGTCTGGAACTAGCCCTTGCCTGTCTGCCCGCCCGCCCGCCTGCGTGGCCGTCAGGCGGAGAGCCGCGATCGCTAATGCACAGAGCAAGCCTCGACGACTGGGAGGGCAGTGGGCTGAGACTTGCCCCCCCTGTCACCAGCCCTTCAGCCAGTAGTTCAAATCACGTGCATTATCAGTGATGCAAGTCATCCTTCCCGCTCTTTCGGGTCAGATGGCCAGACGCTCGCTATCTCCCACCTAGGTGAGCAGACGATCGGGCGGGCAGGTAGGCGGTAGATGGGAAACGTCACTTTGCCGCCCGGCCCCCATCTTGCCCGCCCGGCAGCCATCTGCTGTCGCTGCAACGTCCAGGTGGAAATACGCGCACGACTGGGCCACGGCTCGGGGAATTACAGGGTTTGAACGACAGGCGGACAGCCAGACGGAGCGCAGAGACGACCTGGCCGCGAAATATGGCCGCTGGTGCAAAGAAGTGACGGGCCTGGTGCGCGCTCTGGCGGGCCACAAAAGCACCAGCTCTCGAGCGCCTCCGCAAGAAGCAGAGACCACAACCGCCAGGTCAGACCACAAAACGGGTCACAGAACGTGGGAATGTGAGAGGCTGGCGAGCAAGGGCAGCGTGTTCCTAACAAGCCCGTCTTTTCGTGCCTCCGGAATTCCAGCGACATGTTTTCGTGTCTCCCGTTCCGTGCTCACGCTGTCTCCCGCCTGGCACCAAAACGTGCTGTCCTGTCTCTGCACCCGCCGCTCATCGGAGAAGTCTGGACTGGGTCGGTCGGCCATCGGGAATGGGGCCGAGGAGTGGCCCGTCGCAGTGTATAGCTTGAGTGTCTGATGGTTGGGGTAAAGAGGGGTGCCCGTGTTGGGTCGTTTCCGTAGAAGCCGATCCGTATTTCTCTGGTTCAGACTGGTAGGTGGGTGCCTAAGGTTGTGTGCAAACGGGCATTTGTCCTCGTGTTGCCAAACAGGTCGTCCCGCCGGCAAAAAAGGCAAAAGGCAAAAACGGGGAGAGGACAAAACGAGAGCAAGAGGGACACAAGGTGTCGGCAGCGAAGCTTGCCTACTGCTGCTGCAGCATCGAACGATACAAAAACATCCAAGCATAAATGTCAACGGACCATAAATGTGAACGGAACAATCTACCAAGTAGGCAGCTTGGCCGAAGCATAGGGACTCGGGGTGGCTCTGTTTAGCGCAGAGATCCATCTTGAAATTGTCTGATGTTGTTGATGCTGTTCGAGCTTGGATGGCGGCAATGCACTGCCCTAACAATGCGCTGCCCGCCCAAGGTGATCTAATCCCTGCAAGGTCTCAAGTCATCCAATCATGGTGCAGACCGTTGAGGTCAATCCCACGTGATCTCGCTCTACCCTGGGGAAAGCTTCGTATGGCCCGTGCGCTAACGCGTCTCGCCGCTGCAGCGCTGCCGACATGTTGAATTTTTTTTTTGGGAAGGGCGCACTCGACTGACCCTTGTTTACATTGGATTGCCAAATCGGGGTGCCAGGCACAACAAACAACAGCTGCTGAAGGGGGGTAGCAAAAATTACCCTATCACGGTGGCTGCATTGATCTTAGACTCCCTGGAGCGCAGCGCAGCCGCCTCCGCTGCGCGTTCCCCTCACTTCTTCCATAACACGCTTTATTATCTTTTGGGTTTTCCTTCAACGAACCTGGCCTGGCTCAGGTTTGGGACAGTCATCCGTCGCGACCGGGTGTCTGGTCCTTTTTTCGCTCGCTTCCAGTCCTTACTTGCCTCTCACTCTGTTATCACCCCGGCCACTGCCACTGCCGCCGCCGCTGCCCACAGGACCCCCTCGCGTCCGCGCCTGCTGGAGCTCGCCGGGCCTGGTCTCAGCACCTTACAACCACGCCGCGGTCCTTCACTCCTCCATCTGCGCCACAAATCTACCCGCGCATCGCGGCCAAAATCGCCCACCATGGATTCCGACAACGACTCCATAGACAACTTCCTGGACAACGAGTCCGATGGGTACTCCCCCGAGCCTGTTAGTTCCCGCCGTCTTACAGCGCCCGCGTGCATCAGACAATGCTACTATCCTGCGCACATGGCACATAGTCACAATGCGCTCCTGCTGACACCATCTTCCAGAAACCAAAAGCCAAGCCCGCCGCAAAGAAGGCAGCAGCAAAGCCCGCCGCTACCAAAGCTGCGCCCAAGAAGAAGCTTACCCAGTCCAAGCTTGCAGTGTCAAAGAAGCGCGCAAAGCCGGATTCGGACGACGACGGCGGCGCTGGGTCGGACGATGACGCCAACCTCTCAAACACACCACCAAACTCCAAGAAGCAGAAGAAGGCTCCCGCCAAGAAGCCTAGCGGGAAGCCCCTCGCCGAGATAGAGAGCGACAGCATGAACCTGGACGGCGCTGCCGACGACGTCGACGTGAAGCCCAAATCCAACAAGTCCGCAACCGAGACGTACCAGAAGCTCACCCAGCTCGAGCACATCATCAAGCGCCCCGACACCTACATCGGCTCCGTGGAGCGGACCGACCAGAAGCTATGGGTCTTCAACAAGGAGACGCAGCTGGTGGAGAACAGGACCGTCAACTTTGTGCCTGGTCTCTACAAGATCTTTGACGAAATCCTCGTAAACGCTGCCGACAACAGCCAGCGTGACAAGACCATGACGGCGCTCAAGGTCACCATCGACCGCGAGTCGGGCCAGATTTCCGTCGAGAACAACGGAAAGGGAATCCCCGTCGAGATGCACGAGAAGGAGAAGGTCTACATCCCCGAGTTGATTTTCGGCCACCTCCTGACTGGTTCCAACTACGACGACAAGGAGCTGAAGACCGTTGGTGGCCGCAACGGTTACGGTGCCAAGCTTACCAACATCTTCAGTACCGAGTTCATCCTCGAGTGCCAGGACAGCAACAACGGCAAGAACTACTCGCAGAGGTGGACCAACAACATGGGCGTGTGCGAAAAGCCCAAGATCAAGGCCAAGAAGTCGGCCGATTACGTGCGCGTCACTTTCAAGCCCGACTACAAGCGCTTCGGGATGGAGAATGGCATCGACGACGATCTCGAAGGCCTCATGTACCGCCGCGTCTACGACATGGCTGGTACCCTGGAGTCCAACATCAAGGTTTTTCTGAACGGCGAGCAGCTCAAGATCAACTTCAAGAAGTACTGTGAGATGTACGCCAAGTCCATCGCCAAGGAGCGCGACGATGTGGCGCCCGAGGGTGCCGAAGGCGCCCCCGTGGCCGAGGTCATCTTCGAGGACCCCAAGCTGCATACCCGCTGGAAGGTGGCCTTCACCGTGTCGGACGGCTCGTTCCAGCAGGTCTCGTTCGTCAACTCCATTGCCACCACCTCTGGAGGCACGCACACCAACTATATCGCCGACCAGATCTGCCAGGCGCTGCTAGCCGACCTCAACAAGAAGAAGAAGGGCCACTCGCTCAAGCTGAACCATATCCGCAACTACATCTTCATCTTCGTCAGCGCCCTCGTCGAGAACCCGGCGTTCACGTCGCAGACCAAGGAGCAGATGACGACCAAGGCCAGCGCTTTTGGCAGCAAGTGTACGCTGTCCGACGCCTTCCTCAAGAAGGTCAAGCAGACCGAGGCCATCGAGAACATTATCCACTTCGCCGAGAAGAAGGCGGACAAGATGCTTTCCAAGAGCGACGGCAACAAGCGCTCGCGCATCAGCAACGACAAGCTGGTCGAGGCCAACTTGGCTGGTACCAGGCACGGCCACGAGTGCACCCTCATCCTGACCGAGGGTGACTCGGCCAGAGGTCTGGCTGTTGCTGGCCGCGCTGTACTGGACCCGGACCGCATCGGCGTCTTCCCCCTGCGCGGAAAGATGCTGAACGTGCGAGATGCGCCCGTCGAGCAGATCCTGAAGAACAAGGAGATCCAGAACATCAAGCAGTTCCTCGGTCTCAAGCACAAGCAGAACTACACCGACACCAAGAGCCTGCGGTACGGTCACCTCATGATCATGGCCGATCAGGATCACGACGGTAGTCACATCAAGGGGCTTCTCATCAACTTCCTCCAAGTGCAATTCCCATCCCTGCTGCAGATCCCAGACTTCTTCCAGGAGTTCATCACCCCCGTCGTCAAGGTGTGGCAGGGCTCTAACCCCAAGAAGCCGCTCAGGCTCAAGAGCTTCTTCAACCTGCCTCAGTACGAGGAGTGGAAGGAGGCCCACAAGCATGAGATCCGGCGCTGGGATTACAAGTACCTCAAGGGACTGGGAACCTCGTCCAACGAGGACGCCCAGGTCTACTTCACCGACCTAGATCGCCACCTGAAGGAGTTCGATACGATGAAGCCCCAGGAGGTCGATCTCTTCGAGCTGGCTTTCTCCAAGAAGAAGGCCGACGCCCGAAAGGAGTGGCTTGGCAACTTTGTTCCCGGCACATACCTGGACAACTCGACCAAATCTGTCTCGTACACCGACTTCGTCAACAAGGAGCTCATCCTCTTCAGCATGGCAGACAACATGCGCTCGATTCCTTCCGTGGTTGACGGTCTGAAGCCTGGACAGCGCAAGGTCATCTTTGCCAGTTTCAAGCGGAACCTGGTCAAGGACAAGAAGGTGGTCGAGTTGGCTGGTTTCGTTTCCGAGGTGGCCGCCTACCACCACGGTGAGGCCTCGCTACAGCAGACCATTGTCGGCTTGGCTCAAAATTTTGTCGGGTCCAACAACGTGAACTGTCTCGAGCCCAGCGGTAACTTCGGTTCTCGTCTTGCCGGTGGATCCGATGCCGCCAGCGCTCGTTACATCTTCACTCGCCTGTCACCATTTGCCCGTCGCGTTTTCTCTGCCCTGGACGAGCCTATTTTGCAGCACCAAGTGGATGATGGCAAGGTCATTGAGCCAAAAACGTACGCACCCGTCATCCCCATGGTTCTGGTCAACGGTGCCGACGGTATCGGCACCGGTTGGAGCACGTCGATCCCCAACTACCACCCCAAGGACATTGTCGACAACCTGAGGCGACGCATGGGCCGCATGGATGGGGAAGAAGAGCAACCTTTCCAGACCATGCTCCCCTGGTTCCGTGGCTGGAAGGGCTCGGTGCGAGCCGAGGGTCCGGGGCGGTACAGCTTCAATGGTACCGCAGAGGTGGACGAAAAGAATCCTAACGAGGTCGTCATCACGGAGCTGCCCATCCGGATGTGGACGGATGATTTCAAGGCCAAGCTGGAGGACATCATCCGTGCCGAGAAGGCCCCGTCCTTCATCAAGGACTACAAGGAGTTCAACGACCACCGCAACGTGCACTTCATCATCCAGCTCGAGGAAAAGCACATGCAGATCGCGCTCAAGGAGGGTCTCTTGGAGAAATTCAAGCTTCTCAAGAATATCGCCACGACGAACTTGGTCGCTTTCGACACCAACGGCATGATCCGCAAGTACGAAAAAGTAGAGGACATCCTTGAGGAGTACTACCACTACCGGTTCAACATGTACACCGAGCGCAAGGTGCGTCATATCACGTCATGTTTCCTCCCTCTGGTTGTCTCGTGCCGCAATGCTAATTTGACGAAATTCTCACATCAAAACAGGCCCACTGGCTCAAGGTGTACCATGCCGACTACCGCAAGCTAAAGAACCAGTACCGTTTCATCTCGGAGATCATCGAGGGCAAGCTGGTCGTCTCCAAGAAGAAGAAGGTCGTTCTAGTTCAGGAGCTGCGCGACCGCAAGTATGAGGCCTTCCCCAAGACCGAGGCTGCAAAGAGGGCCAAGGAGGACGATGAGGACAACGAGCCCGCAGAGGAAGAAGACGAAGGCAGCGCCAGCGACTACGATTACCTTTTATCGGTAAGTAAGATCCAAACTACCTCTATGATAGGAGTAGTTGCTAACAACAGATGTGACAGATGGCTATCTGGTCGCTCACATACGAGCGTTTGGAGAAGCTCAAGAAGTTAATCGACGCCAAAAAGGCCGAGTATGACGATCTGGAGAGCAAGAGCGAGAAGGACCTGTGGTGCAAGGATCTAGACGACTTCATGGAGGAGTGGGAGGAGCAGATGCGGCTCGACAAGGAGATCCAGACCAACATCAACCGCATGGGTCGTCGTGTCTCTAAGAAGATCGGCGCCGGCCGAGGAGGCGGTCGCAAGCCCAAAGCAGCCGACGACGACTACGCCCCGACCAAGGGCAAGGCCGCATCAAAGGCCGCACCCAAGGCTGCTGCGAAGGTTAAAGAGGGCCCGGCGATCAAGGTCGAGCCGACAAAGACGCACGAGCGCTTCGCAAGCATGTTCTCGGCGAAGCCCAAAGCAAAGGCCACCAGCAGGTCTCAGTTCGACGGGGCATCAGACGATCTCTCCGAAGACGACTTTGCTGCGCTCAGCAAGCCCAAGGCCCCTTCAGTCAAGAAGGAGGACTCGGATGAGAGGCCCGCAGATACTGTCATGGATCTGGACGACGATTCGATACAGGTGCCCGTGCGCTCCAAGCGCGCCGCTGCAGCGAAGCCCAAGCAATGGATCGTCGAAGACGACGAGTCCGAGTCCGATTTTGACGACAAGATGCTGGACGACGTCGGAGCAATGGTCAAGGGCATCGGCAAGCCCGAGGCCGAGTCGGGCAACGGCACCTCGGGCCGGTTGAGCCTGTTCGCCATGTCTCGCCCGGAGAGCAGCGGCGACAACGCCAGTGCGACACTCAACAGCAAACTCAAGACGAAACATTCCAAGACATTTGCCGACCTAGACAGCCCCGACGAGACCAACTACGAACTCCTGGCCCAGCGCTCTAGCCCCGTCAAGTCGGTCAAGGACGACGTTGTCGACCAATTCCTCTCGGACGACGACGACGACGACGACCTGCCGCCACCCAGCAAGATTGCAGCCACGGCCAAGGCCTCGTCGTCGGCAGCACCTCCCAAGGCCCCCCTCAGCGTCGTCGCCGCCCCAGCCAAGAAGGCTCGCGGACGCCCGGCGGGTGCCAAGAACAAGGCCAAGGAGGACGCGCCGGCGCCAAAGGCCAAGGCTAAGACGGCGGCAGCCAAGAAGCAGACGACGCTCTCGCCCGCCGCCAAGGCCTACGCCGCGAAGCTCAAGGCGAAGAAGACGGTCATGGACGACGACGAGGATGATGACGACGACGACCTCGTTATGAGGGACGCGCCCGCTTCCCCCGTCGCTGCGGCTCCCAAGGCGCGTGGCCGTCCCGCGCGCGCCGCCGCTTCCAAGCCCAAGAAGCCAATCGTCCTCGACGACTCGGACGATTCGATGGGCAACGACAAGGACGAGAGTGACGATTTCGGCGAGGACAGCGACTAAAAAGGTCGCCTAAGAGACTATATGTCGGCGTTTTGACAAAAAAAAACATACATGAGATATGCGGGATATGGATTGATGCTGGTGGAAGCACATCTTTCTTCTTTTTATCCTTTTCCGGCGTCTTTTCTCTCTGTAATCGGGGACGGTCGGGTAGAGTGAGAGCGGAACGGAGATGGTGTCTGGGATGGGTGTATGTTTTTTTTTCATTCTCCCTGACTTGCATCGCCTTGCCTCTTCTTCTCTCTATCCAGTGTCTTTTTCCTTGGCTGTTTTTGCCCGATGTCGTCTTGAGTTCTCCGATATCATCTCGTCGCTTATGTTTCGTCTGGAAGGCATAGGCTTTTTCCTCTTTTTTAAACTTTGCTTGTATATCCGGCGTTGCTTGCTGATGATGATGGCGCGATTGTGAATATACTTATTCAGCATCTCCATCCAACGAGCCTCATGGCATGAGGCTTGCCCATAGATTTCTCAGAGCCATCCGCTTCGATAATGATTATCCACATTCAAACATGGAACTTGGGCAGTTATGACAGTGCACTAGAAAATGGTTTCCTCGCCTCCCAGATGACTGTGCATCCCCTGACGAGCCATATGTGAATGCTAGGAAACAGACAACGGCTTGATGCCGTACACGGAACTACGAGCACAGGTGGGAGGGAGGAAAAGTAGTGATTAAAAACTGCCAGAGGATGCGTGGCTATTCGACGATTCCGCAAACTACTAAAGGGGGGAAGAAAAGACAAACGAGTATACATCAACCTCGACGGCAGGGCTCCTCACACAAAGCACACCTCACGGCGTGTACTCACTCTCCACCCATCCACCTTCGGCGCGACCCCATATTAGAGTCCGCCTTCGCCACAGTCCCCTGATATGACCCAATCCACGCAGCCCATGCTCGTTTGCATTCTCAGCCCTACCAAACCGTTCTCCATTGTCTTTCCTTCCGCCACGCTCAGAAGCCAAGAACCAGACAGTGGAGGGAAAGCAAAACAGGACATAAGCCATTATCACGAGTTCCCAAGAATCCATGGACAGACATGGTTGGTCGTTGGTTCATTTCAAGCATGCTGATTCCCCTCATGTGCTGTGCCCTACGCCGTGCGGTAAATAACGACAAAAGCAATCGAGTAAAGTAAAAAAAAAAAAAGGAGTCCGTCAAATCATGCTAGTCGAGTCCGTAAGACTAAAGAGGTCATGGCTCGTGTTGCGGTAAAGACTGGCAAGCTCGGGGTGTTGTTGCCCAAGAGTGCTGCTCGAGGTTCCATAGACCGGCCAAGGCGGGGACATGTGTACATAACATGTAGGCGCCAAAGCCAGGTCTGCCAGAGCCGAAAAGAGGACGGACACCTGACATGTGGCCCACCATCTTTTCGCCCTGGTGTTCTTGTCAACATAGTTGTACTCTGATTAGGCCTTGACAGGTACCTTGTTCAGAGGCGCCTTCTCATCCTCTTCCTCAGACTCCTCCTCAGACGACTCCTCCTCCTTGCCGGGGGCAGCAGGGAAACCCTTGGGCACCTCGGGAAAGTCGGACTTCTTAACTTCGTCGGCCGGGGCGGCTTTGCGGGTAGCAGCAGGGGACTTGGAGCGACCACGGAGCAGCTCCTGGGCCTTGGCGGTGTAGTCGCCCATGTACTGCTTGGTCAGCTCGGTGGCTTGGGCAGTGTGCTTGCCGGCCACCTCCTTCAGCTGGTTGGTCTGGGTCTCGACGACGTCCGAGACCTGCTTCAGCTGCTCGTCGATGAACTCCTTGTTGGACTTGTAGACAAGCGGGGCGATAAAGGCAACGGTGGTGAAGATGAGAGTCAGGCCCCAGTACGGGACGAACTTGACGAGGTAGTAGGCAAGCAGAGAGCCAACAAAAGCCTATGGAGTGCGAGTTCGACCTAGTTAGCACTAGGTAAACGGGTGGAGTTGCAGGGGACGTCGAGGGGAACTTTACCATGGCGGAGACTGGGATGTTCTCAACAAAGAGAATACGCTGCGACTCGATGATGAAAAAGTTGAGGAGCTCGTGAACGTCCCCAATAAGGCCGGTCAGGGTCTCCTGCGAAATGGTGTAGTACTTGCGGGGGCGGAGCTGGCTGGCGACACCCGTGTTCAGGACGGCCTTGCCAGCAACCTCGGCGGCGACCGTGGTGAAGAGGGTGATCCAGGTGAGCTTGAGGGCATATCGGAAAACGTCCAGGTACCTAACCGAGAAGACGAGGGTGACGATGGAGACATAGGCGATGGCGGAGGCACCTGGGAAGAAAGACATCAGTGTCAGTCAGCCTGCTAACTCGACAGAGGGATGCCAAAAGACATAGCCTCGGAGCATCGCGGGCTAACGTACGAGGGTTGTTCCAGGACAGGAGCTCCGAGAAGAAGGAGTGATAGTGCGTCAGCGGCTGGCCAGTGGCGGCCGGGTTGGCTGGCGTTTGCCGCGAGGCGGCGAGCTTGGAGAACTCGGCCGACGTCTTGGCAGACTGATCCTTGACGTTCTGAGCAACAGGGCCTGTCGGACGGGGCAAGGGTCAGCGGGGCCACGGACAGGAAGCCGAGCCGGCCTGGCCGGCGGGGGGGGACAGGGCGATCTTCATACCATTGGCGACAGAGTCGTAGGCAGCCGAGGCGTCTGCAGTGCGGGTTGGGTCAGTTTCAAGCTCCAAGGGAAAGCTGCGCACGCGACGTGGCATTCGGAGTGCATGGCATCAAGCGGCGGCGGCGGCGGTGGGAGGGCGTGGAACACTGTCGAAGAGAGAGGCGTCTTGCGGTTAGTCGACGGTCCCGGACGATAACGGCCACGGCAGGCGGGCCACAGCTTTTGCGGTCGGAGCTGGGAGGGCGAGGGTGACGAACCTTACTGCTCTTCAGAGCATCCATTCCGGAGCCGCCGTTGGCAGCCGAATCAGCCATTGCGAAATGATTGCTCAGAAACGATGTGTGCTGGCGACAAAGAGCAGAGGAGACGTATGTGGCCGGATTGGCGTGGTTGGCTGAGTTTGGGTTGTTTTGGGGGAGAGCAGGACGAAGGTTGTTTGAGGTGGAAGAGCCGGAAAGGCAGAGGGAAAGGAGGCGAGAGAGAGGTGAGTCTGTGTGCGTGGGTGGGAGGTACAGATGTCGTCAGTTATTTTCTTTTTTCTTTTTCTATTATTTTCCAGAGGTCTCCAGAGAGGTACCTCCCGACTTTCGGCACCTGTGCGGGGCCTACAAGTGGCGGGCCAGTGCTCCGCCCTAGCTGCTCTACGGCTGGTTTTGGCGCTAGCCGCTGGAAATACAGGGGCCTCACGGCCTTGGAGCATGCAACAGGGCTTCCGGAATGGAATCACCGCTTCTGTGTTGCTTTTCTTCTCGTTGCCATCATTTCACTTCTACCGCAACCGGAGAGACGAGCTCAATGTTTCGTTGAGCTAGATCGAGTGTGCACGGATGCCTGGTGAGCGACCGACGTGATGTCTCCTTGTGCGCGTGCTCTCGATGACGGGTCTCAGGGCCGAGATTCACCTTCCATCTCATGAGCCATCCAAAAGTGGCGCTTGACCCCTCCCAACATGACGGACCGCCCCCCTTTTTGGACTTGACTGCTCGAAAGGAAGAAAAATGCCAGTCGTCACCACAAAGACGTCGTCGTTCAAAGAGCGCACACGACAGGACACGCAGTGTGAGAGGCACACACACAAACCGGCTAGCCACAAAGCAGCGTCATGGCGGGTGGTGCAGCTCCAACGTTTTGGGGGGCTGGCACAGCTGTGCGTGCGTGCGGTCCCTTGATTGGCGGTGCGCCGGTGGTGGCTGGCCATGTACAAAAGCAGCAGAAAGGAGCTTTGGCCTGGTGCTGCTGGCTGCGCCTGGAGGGAAATGTATGACGATGTCAACGGACGACACTGCTAGCCTGACCCGACCTGCCGCGCTACCTGTTTCTCCCATCCACACACATTTGAGCTGCCCCTCAGTCAAACGCGTGCAGCTCCTCGACGGCGTCCTAGATAGCGGGCCAATACGGCACCGTCAATACCGTCAACTTCCTGAGAGAAAACAGACGAGATTTCGGCGTGCCGTTTCCGAGCCCGAGCAGCCACGAATCCATGTGGCACTTTCCATACGGTGAGGCCGATGCGTCCCCCGTGTTTGACCCCATCCGCCTGCTTCTTCTCATGCAGGCGGCTTTCTTGTCAGGGGTGCGGTGCATACTGTATGTGCATGTGGGCGTGTATTAGTATGTACGGGCAGCCCCAGTGCCCAGTGGTTTACACAAATCTGTCCTCATTTCTCCCCTCTTCTTATCAGCCAGCCCTCTCCTGACTGGGAAAAGCTGTCATGTCGCAAATGCATGCGCGTGGGCCAGGAACGGGACCTCCATGCATCATACGGTTCTGGCCCCCGGGTCCATTCAGAGCCGTCGAGTACCTCAGCAAGAAGCCCACAGCGGGCAAAAAGCAGGTCCAGCCAGAGGGGAGGAGGGGGGACCAGCCGAAATTTGCTGGCCGCTGGCGTCATGCTGAAAGCTGCTTGTGGAGGGCCCTGCCCCACCAAACAAAAACCCGACTGGAGACGGTCCCCCCAAGACTTGCATGTGATTGCGGCAAGGGAACAAGGAACAAAAAAAAGAAGGGCAAGAAGAAACCCACATTGCTACCTAGTCCTAATCGGGCAGGCGCCCACATGACGTCTGTGGGGCCTCGCGAGCACGCATCACGAGCATCAGGTATCAATAAAAAGATGGAGAGACCTGTTGGTCCTCTCAGGAAGACGAATAAAAACAGGAAGGGGACCGGAATGAAAACAGTGATCTGATGCCTCCCTCACCCCACGTATCCAGCTCACAATTCAACATGGGAAATCTCTCGAGACGCTGTGGCGGCCTAGCTCCCATCCGCTCGTCAACGGCTGAGCGATTGTCCGAAACTCCGGCATGGCGTCATGCTTGGGTATCCGGAATTCCCAAGGGGCTATTCTGCGCCCGACAAAAAGAAAAATACACCCGCGTAGAGCTAAATGGTAATAAAGCAAGAGTTGCCGTATTTCGTTGTGACTTGCAAGTATCTGTGTCTGCTGCCCGATCCCCGAGACAAGAAGGATGCAAGCTGAGACGTGAAGAGTGAGAGGCCCATGTGTGTGTGCACTTTCTTTTTGCTTGCTCGCCGCCTTTGCGACCGTAGGGTTTGCTTTTTGTCTTGCGGCCGTGCACGTACCTGCCTGGTTTTTAATGGGAGCTGGAAACCCGTTCCAGAGGTTTCTTCCTTCCTCCCCGACCTGACGAGCACCAGTCTCTCGCTCGCTCTGCGAGCACTGATCCAGCGAGCACCACCCATTCCACCCAAGCACCAGACCGGACATCGCTTAACAACAATGCCCATCTAGCAGCATCAGGGACTACAATCAGCAAGACACGATCACGAAACATGTGGATGCAGTCTTCGGCATTTAAGCCCCATAAAGATTCAACTTCATGCACCGGCCCAGTCGCTTCTGACCGGGCTAAAAACAACCAGAAATATCTACGTCGCCCTGTAAGTTACAGCAAGAACGCATTGCTCCATCCCCGCCTGTCATCCCAGAAGGGTTCCCTAAATAAAATGCAACGGCTCTGCAAATGCCATGCAATCCTCATGATTTTGTTTTGCTCGATGCAAATATGCCTTGACCCAGGCTTCTGTGGTATCAATATTGTTTGAAAATGAAAATCTGCCTCCCCGAGCGCGATATAGAAGAAGAACAAAAGCAACGCGGAACACCGTTTGCGATGTTGGAAGAAAAGGCTGAAGCAGAGAGAATGGTGATCTAGGCCGACCACAGATGATGGCAGTATTATAGATGTCTTTCGAGCTTCGAATCGGGTGTGTCCAAACAGCCAGGAGCTCTGGCAACGGGTATGTGGCATGGAGAGATCTAGCCTCGTCTCCAGCCAAAGAAGCCGCCGACAGCTGTCGCCGGCGCGCTAGCAGGGCCAGGCGGGGGAGCAACGGCCGTTTGTGGGGCGGCGTTGGCGGCGGGCGGCACCGAGGCTGTCTTGTTGGCCGCCGTCTCGGAAACGGCCGTGGTGAAGCGACCAAACATGCCCATGGCCGCCGAGGCTGCCGTCGAGGCTGCCGTCGAGGCCGCGTTGGACGTGGGGGGGCCGTTCGAGGCCGATTCTGGAGTCATGCCGATCGTCTTCCGCAGCCTTTCGAGCTTCTGCTTAGCCTCGTCGGCCTCTTGCCTTGCCATGGCCTCGGCCGTCTTTGCCTGAACCAGCTCGAGCAGGAGCGCTTCATGCTCGTTGGTCGGCTCGGCAGTGGCCGGAGGCAGGAGCGAGTGAGTCGTCATGGTGGAAGCTCGCTTCGACATGCCTGTTGACCCGGTTGAGATCTGCGATGGAGTGGACCTGCTGCGACCGAGCTTCAACTCGCGGAGCCCCCCCTTTGCGGCCGGTGGGCTTGCTCCCCCTACGCCCGTTGCCCTGCTTAGCCAGTCGGCGGCGGTGTTACCGCCCTCGGGGGTGGGGTTGGCAGTGGTCGCAGCCGCCGTCTCGGCAGCCGAGGCGCGCGCCCTCATATTATGGATCTGCTTCTCCAGGCGCTGTTTATCCTGGTGCATGTTTCGCACGTGGGAACGGCTGTCCTGAAGCTGATCCTTGAGTGACGATATTTCTTGCTCCAGGTCGACCTGCTGACGGGTTTTATCTTGGCCCTTTGCAATCTCTTGCGCCAACTGCTCCTTGGCGCGCGCCAACTGTTCTCGCAGTTGCGCCTTGGTCTCCGACGCTGACAAGCTCTTGGTCTTCTCATCATCCTGGTTGTCGTCCTGGCTATTGCTGACCCCGAACCTCTCCTCCACGATGACGAACAGGCCGGCAAGCGGGGCGGCGGCCGAAGCGCCATCTTCAGGAACGTCTGCAGGGGGTGGTGTTGAGGGGGGGATGTCAACCTGCTTTAGCCCCGTGAGCAGCGACCGTACCGCCTGGCGATCTTCCTCCCTCCCCTCTCTTTCGCGCTGCAGCTGGTCGGCCAGCTGGGCCTGTTGACGCTGCAGGTCGCTTAGGGCAGTGAGGAGATCCTCGATCTGGCTGTTGAGGTAGCGCTCGTCGTCGGAGCTGCCAGTCTTGGCGGGACCTTGCAGCTGGGAGGCAGAGCTGCCAAAGGACGCCGGGTGGGTGGCGGAGCGGCGGACGACAGGCGCGTCAGAGGCGGCTGAGTCGCGCGAGAGGGAGGTGGCGTCGGTGGATGCGGAGCTGAGAACGCTGGCGGCGGACGAAGTCGAGGTGGAGTTCGCCTCCATGGAATTCAGGGTCGAGGCGATGCTCTGTTTGGAGGCGCTTCTTCGAAGCATGCTCGTGGAGCGAGGTGAGGCGACCAGGCCGGGGCTGAGGTTGGCGGCTGCAGAGGTGGCTGCAGCGGCGCTGGGGGTGTTGGCGTCGGGGTTGTTGGTGGCGGCGGGGTCGGGGGCGGCGGTGTTGGTTGTTTGCGCGATCGCGGTTGATGGTTTGGATGAGGGTGCAGGTTGCAAGGTGGTCGGTGTGGAATTGGCCGTGCCCGATGCCATAACGGTCCTACTGGAGAAAGTGGAGCTGCTGGAGATTGAGGTCGCGAGTCGGCCCAGAAATCGGGAGGCTGACGTGGTAACATCAGACGTTTGGCGCGCGCCACTTGGGTTGGCGCCAGCCGTGGCGGCCAATTGCGCCTCGCGGTGGAAGGCCTGCTCCAGCTGCGCCAGCTTCTCGCGGTCCACCACGTCGCTGAGCCTGACAAAGTCGCTAACAAACTCGTCGGCGTTGTAGCCGTAGCAGTCCCAGAAGGCGCGTGACAGCAGCAACTGCATCACGTCCTCCAGCTCGCTGCACGCCAGCAGGCGGACCTGGTTCTTGCGCATGAGCGACAGGGCCACCCGCATCAGCGTCTCCGACACGCCCTCGGCAAACAGCACGTCGTACATCCGGAAGAGCATCGGCAGAGGTGCCGTCACCGCGAAACAGGAGAGCCACCACTGTGAAACGTAGACAGGGTCCACCTGCAAACCATCCAGATGGGCCGATAGAGCGGGCAGACTGGCTCGCAGCAGCTGCGAGAACTGGTAGATTCGCACGTGCAGCCCGGCAAGGTCCGGTAGGAAACAACTGCGCAGGTCGTAGTTTTCCATCAATCTGTTTGTGTTGCTCCTGTTAGTAAACCCTGGCGAGCCCATCATCGCGCAACACCCGCGCCGCCCGTGCGCCTTGACCCGCCCGCCCGCTCGCTCGCTTCCATCCGCCTCCCGGGAACCAGAACCAGAAAACGGTGCACGACGTACCTTACTAGCACGCAAAATGCCTGCTTGTCAGGCATGTGCATCAGCAGGGGCCCAACCAGGAAGGCGAGACCTTGGCAGTAGCCGATCTCCGGGTCGTAGACGCTGAAGCACCTGAGCACGCGGCCGAGCATGCGCTGGCCCTCGCCCTCGGCGTCGCGGAACATCTCGACGCCCGGAAAGCTGCGGCCCAGGTCCTTCCTGATGATGCCCGCGAAGGGGGTGGACTGCCCCGAGAGCCGCTCGAACTCCTCCTCGAGCGCGGCATCGCGGGCTCCCGACATGCTCTGCCAGACGACGCCGCGCAGGGGGGGCGGAATGCCCTTGCGAATCTTGTTGGACAGCAGCGTCGGCAGGCGGGCCGCCGTCTGCTCATAGTCCTGGACCAAGGCCGCGTAAAATTCTAGATCCGTCATTGGAGGTGGTGGTAGCATCGAGTACCGCAGCGCGGGGGGTGTAGGGCCGTTAACCATATCTCGAAGCATGGCCATGGACGGCGGTCGTGATTTCTTCCTCGGTGATCTCTGCGCCTCGGCCGGCTGGACTTTGACAGTCTTTGGGTTCGTTGCCAGTTTAGCGTTTTCCTGCTCCAGCCGAGCAAGAAGCAACGCAGTCTGTGGTTGGGGCACATTTGATTTATTAGTCGGCGTCATTAGCAGCCTTCGCAGTAATCTGCAAAGGTACGGGGGATTCGGAGGGTGGGTGTGCACCACAGCGCCGCCTCTTAATTGCGCCCGCGATAGTAAGCTGCGGATCCAGCACCCAACCTCAACAAAATCGACAAATAATCCCAGGCACCTACATTGTCGGCTTCTTGCTCACGTAGTTGCTCGTCTTCTTTTTTGAGGCCGTCCCAGTCGACAGGCTCGTCTATTTCAGAGGTTGGCGAGCTGTCGCCGGCGCCCACCGCTGCGCCGTCGGCAGGTCCAACCGTAGTCGGGTCATCAGCAGACGCTAGCGGCGCAGCTCCAAGGGTGGCTGCAGTGCCCAGGGGCGCTTGTTGCTGCAGAAGTGAGCTCGTGCTCCCCGGGCGCTTGCCAGCGCCTGCTTTCCCAGCTTCGGGGACTTGTATTTTGCTGTCCGTGTCAGCGCCACCACCATCCTCGAGCTCCTCCTGCAAGCTTCGCAAGCCATTTCCGTCACCAACACCAGCACCCGCATCAACGCCCACAACGGCAGATGCCCTCCCGTCCACGATAACCTCCTCGGTGAGGACTTCGGCCATCGCTTTTGTCGGCGTGTACGTGTACTCGTTCGTGAACAGACTCCTCCGTACAGGGGCGAGCTGCGGGCGGCCGTCAAAGGTGGACGTGTCGCCACCCTGAACGGACGCGGGCTCAGACAGTCGAACTGTCACCATCGAGTCTCGGGTTGTCGGGGTACTTGGCTCCCGGGTGTCATCGGTAACAGAATTAGTCGGTGATTCTGATGTCGGTTGCGCCACGTGTGTTGTTTCTGGGGTCGCTGGCGTCTCCGGCGGCAGCACCGACGTAGGCGTTTGCACTATGGTCTCCGGTTCGGAGAGCGAATGTTGCGGGAGCACCAATCCCGAGGAAATCGCTTCCTGGGCGGGTGCTGGTTCGGGTATCGTGGGTCCTGTGGGCGGCGATCCTGAAGCCAATGGTTGTTGGGCAACTGCTGGCTCGTCGGGAAACGACTGGTCTGCGAGCATTAATTCTGAAGCATATGGCTGCTGAGCGGGTCTTGGCTCTGGAACTGGTTCCAGAGCGTACTGCATCTGGAGCGGTGAATTTCCAACGAGAGTTTGTGCTGTGGGTTCGGCCTCCAGGATCGATTGCGTCGTGGGCAAGGGTGCTGGAGCGAATGTTTGCATGGGCGACGGTTCGAGGACCGACTGCATCGCGGGCGGTGGTGCCGAGTCAAGTGTCTCCGTCGGAAGTAATGCTTCCCCCGGTGGTACCATCAACTGCAGTGTCGACGGCATCGGTTCTGGGTGTACGGTCGAGGAAGCAAGCTGCTGTTGTGGTAGTTGCTGCTGCTGCTCCACTGGGGGGACGGACATGCCGCTCGCGTAGGCATTGCTCATCATACCGGCATCATCGAGTGGAGGCGCCATGGCAGGCTGCATCAGCTCGAACGAAGACTGCCATGTCGGGAACGGGGAGCTCTGCAGGATAGGGAACGGGGCGCTTTGAGGGATCCGAGAGTCCCCAGGGTAGTAGTATTGCCCAGGCTCCATCACGAAGCCCGGGCTGGCAGCGTGCCTCGGAGGGAGGCGACGCTGCTTCGAAGTCTAGGAGGTACAGCGAGGGTTTCGTGGCACGGCGCGGGCTCGTGTCTTGGACGAGGCGTCCGATCGTCGTCTGGCTGGAATGTGTGTCGTCGTGGTTCGCGTACCCAGGGCGAAAAGAAAAACACAGGCAGGAGGAAAGTAAGGGAGAGTTGTAGCTCCAAAATATCGTGGACCAACCCAGGGCGCCAGCCGATCTCCAGAGGGACGGTGCCAGGGGGCCCGACGGGTGGGTAAAAGGTTGGTGGCAGTGGGTTAGGTAGGTACGAGAGCCAGACGCTTCTTGTTCGTCCCCTTGGTCAGAGGGCTGGATATTTGCCAGTAGCCCGAGCTTGGTTGAGGTTGTGAGGGCTGGTCCGAAATTAGCAAGCACGGATCATGCGGTCCGTTGGAATCCTGGCTCGACGGCGGCCAACAGCACAATTCTTGACTGGCGCCGTCGCTTGGTGCACGAGTAACGCCGGCAAAGGCACATAAAGGCGCCTAATAAAGGTCGGGCAAGGCGATAGTATTCCTGACAAGGGTCAGAGCAGGTCGGTCCACTGGGGGGAAAGGCGGGCTAGATCCCCATTATCTTCATTTCAAGCTGCGGGCGAATTTCGAGAACAATAATGGAAGCGCAATACTGGAGAACGTGAAGGCCGGAAACGGCAGGTGCGGCCCCTCCCAAGATGCGGGCGGCGGATTCCTCTTGAGCGATTACACCAGCAGCCTCACCGCCGTCGGGCGTGCCTGTCGTCTATTTTTTCTATTTTTTCTTCTTCTTCCTCCTCCTCTTGCCGTTGTTTCACTGGCAGGGCCGGAGGGGGAGGTCGGGGTCATGAGCAGACGTGAAACATGTACGCGCCGGAGCGGGCTGGGGACTCGGCAAGATGGAATGATGTTCTGGCGCAGTTGAGGCGCCGACAAATCGAACATCTGAGGATCCCGACTGGTGCCGAGCCATCAAAAAAGTCCTAGCAAAGTCGCCCCTCTCCTTCGCCCTCCTCCCTCTGGCGAGTGCCGCGACGGATGGTCACATCGCGCCAGCGGGAAACGGGGTCAAAAGGGGTAGCAAGGGGCGGCGGCTTGCGAGTTTGCCTCGACCCAGTGGCAACAGACTTGCGACTAGAAATGACCCCATTTCTGGGACACGCGAGCAATGCAACAGCCAACAAAAAACCGCACGCACCGACGTGGGGGACGGCTTCCATCCCGGCCTGGCTGGCTGTCGTTCCTGCTAACGAATCCCCCTCCAGCGCTCGAGCAAATCCCGTTGACCACACATCTCGCGTGAGCAATCACTACAATGTAGGGGAATCACCAGCGATTACTAGTGTGCCACGGGTGCACGGTGAACAAACGCATAGCGCTGTACACTAAGCTGGCACCAACTG